CCTATCTTTACCCCTTTTATTTCTCTTTCTTTCCTAATTGCTCTGGCTAGTACTTCCAGTACTATATTAAATAGGAGTGGTGATAAAGGACATCCTTGTCTCGTACCCGATTTTAAAGTAAAGGCTTTCAATTTTTGGCCATTTAGTATGATGCTGGCTGTTGGTTTGTCATAAATGGCCTTTATTATATTGAGGTAAAGACCATTTATTCCAATTTTCTGTAAAGTTCTTATCATGAATAAGTGTTGGACCTTATCGAAGGCTTTTTCTGCATCTATAGAGATGATCATGTGATTCTTATTTTTGGCTTTATTGATATGGTGGATTACATTTATTGATTTGCGTATGTTGAACCATCCTTGCATTCCTGGGATGAATCCCACTTGGTCATAGTGTATAATCTTCTTGATGATTTGCTGGATCCTATTTGCCAATATTTTATTGAGGATTTTTGCATCTGTGTTCATTAGGGAGATCGGTCTATAGTTCTCTTTTATAGTTGGGTCTTTCTCAGGTTTTGGTACTAGAGTAATATTTGCTTCCAGGAATGACTTAGGAAGGATTGCTTCCCTTTCAATTTCATTGAATAGTTTGAGGAGTGTCGGCATTAGGTCTTCTTTATATTTCTTGTAGAATTCTGCAGTGAATCCATCTGGGCCTGGGCTCTTCTTGGTGGGTAAGGCCTTAATTACATTTTCAAGTTCATTAGCAGAGATTGGGTTATTCAACAGTTTTATATCCTCTTGATCTAGCTTTGGTACTTCATATGCTTCTAAGAATCTGTCTATTTCTTTTGTGTTATCAAACTTTTGAGAGTAGAGGTTTTCGAAATAGGTGTTGATGATCCTCTGTATTTCTATTGGGTCTGTAGTGATTTCTCCTTTTTCATTTCTTATTGCATGAATTTGAGCTTTTTCTTCCCTTTTTTAAATAAGGTTGGCTAGGGGCTTATCAATTTTATTTATTCTTTCAAAGAACCAACTCTTTGATTCGTTGATTCTTTGGATTGTTTTCTTAGTCTCTATTGCATTGATTTCTGCTCTGATTTTTATAATTTCCTCTCTTCTTTTGGCTTTGGGCTTGACTTGCTCTTCTTTTTCTAGCTGTTTGAGGTGTAGCATCAAGTTATTTATTTGTATTCGTTCTGTTTTCCTGATGTGGGAACTCAGTGCAATAAATTTTCCTCTCAGAACGGCTTTCATTGCATCCCACAGATTCCGGTAAGTTGTATCTGCATTTTCATTTTCTTTTAGGTATTGTTTAATTTCTTCTTTAATTTCTTCTGTGACCCACTGATTACTCAAGAGTGTGTTATTTAGTTTCCATGTGTTTGTGGAATTTTTGCAGTATCTTTTGTCATTAATTTCTAATTTCAGAGCGCTATGATCCGATAATATGCAAGGGATGATTTCAACTTTTTTGCATTTGCTTAAATATGTTCTGTGAGCTAATATATGGTCTATTTTAGAAAATGATCCATGTACTGCTGAGAAGAATGTGTATTCTGATGTTGTTGGGTGGAACATTCTGTATATGTCTATCAAACCCATTTGTTCACAGGTGTGATTCAGTTCTGTTATTTCTTTGCTCATTTTCTGTCTGGTTGATCTGTCCCTTGGTGTCAGTGGTGTATTAAGGTCTCCTGTTACAATTGTGTTACTGATAATTTGAGTTTTCATTTCTGTTAATAATTGTTTTATATAACTGGGTGCTCTGGAGTTTGGTGCATATATATTTAAGATAGTTATCTCTTCCTCTTGGAGTTTTCCCCTTACGAGTATGTAGTGACCTTCTTTGTCCTTTATGGTCATTGTTGGTTTAAAGTTCACGTTGTCTGCAAACAGAATGGCTACTCCTGCCTTTTTTTGGATTCCTGCTGCATGGAGAATTGTTTTCCATCCTTTGACTTTCAGTCTGTGAGTATCCTTCTGGGTTAGATGGGTTTCCTGTAAACAGCATATGGTTGGATTTTGTTTCTTGATCCATTCTGCTAGTCTGTTTCTTTTGATTGGTGCATTGAGACCATTTACATTAATGGTTATTACTGTTAAATGCTGGTTAATTGTAGGAATGTTATCTCTCTGCTGTTGCATCTTTATCTTTCTGTTCTGTTTAATTATTTGCTTTGCTTAGTGGTTTTTTCCTTTGTGTATCTAAACTGTCTTTCAATATTTTTTGCAGGGTTGGTTTGGTGTTCATGAAGTTCTTCAGCTGTTCTTTGTCATGGAAGTATCGTATTGCACCATCTATTTTGAATGATAGTTTTGCAGGATATATCAGTCTCGGTTGGAAATCATTTTGCTTTAGGATCTGGAATACTTCACTCCATGCTCTTCTTGACTTTATCGTTTGTGCTGAGAAGTCTGCTGTGATTCTGATAGGTTTTCCTTTATAAGTGATCTGTCTTTTCTCTCTGACAGCTTTTAATAATCTATTCTTGTGTTGGATTTCTGGGATGGTGATTATTGTATGTCTGGGTGTAGTTTTATTTTGGTTATGACTGTTTGGAGTTCTATATGCCTCACTGATCCTGATGTCAGTTTCTGATCTCATGCTTGGGAAATTTTCAGCTATTACTTCTCTAAATATCCTCCTGACATCCTTCATGTTGTCTCCCTCTCTTTCATTAATCCCTATCATTCTTATGTTATTCTTCTTTGCATCATCTTGCAGTTGTTGAATTGTTGTTTCCTGATTCCTTGTTATTTTCAAAAGAACTTTCCTTTCCTGTTCACTAGCTGCAATCCTGTCTTCAAGGTCTGAAATTCTATCTTCACTTTCATTAAGGCGGTTTTTACAACTTTCAGTGGAGTTTTTTATTTCCTGTATATCTCTGTGCATCTGCATTATGTATTCTGTTTGTTTCTTATATTGCTCATCTAGGGATTCTATCTTTTTGTTTAGTTCCTCCAATTTTTTATCTGTGTTTTCTTTAGATATATTTAGAATCTCTTTCATTTCTTTTATCATTTCTTCTTTTATCTGGGAGATTATTTCGAGTTTGAATTTCTTTAAAGCTTCCTGGAGTTGCTTGTCAATTTCAGTGGCTATTGTGTCCGATATATGAGGTGGATGGGATATATTTTCTTCTATATACATCGCTCCTAGGGTTTCTTGAGATGGGCTGGAGGTTTGAGGTTGTAATTTGGTCTTTCGTTTTGTCATTTTCCTATATTTCTGTGTTTCAAGTGTTATTTGAAAGCTTCCTCAGGATCTGTTGAAAATCCCCTTCTATGTTTGGAGCTACTGAGACTCTGGCACCGCGCTACCCCAAGCCATTGGGCCTACAGAACCAGTGGCCCTCCTCTGCCTGCTCAGAACTCCACAGTTCCAGACAAGCTGGGCCTCAGGGACACTGTGCGCCCACCTGCCTCTTGGAAGCTCCACAGTTCTTCAATCACAGCCGGGTTAGGGTACTCACCACAGGCCGCAGTGGTTCAGGAACCTGTGGACCCTCCCTGGTTGCAGAGATATCCAGAGTCCTCCAGACACGCAGAGAGGCCAGTGAGGGCACCCCAGATCTGCCCAGCTCCTCCTCTGCAGACCTATGGCCAGGCGCGGCAGCTAAACAGGCTGGGCTAGGCTGGTAGTGTGGGCCAGCCCACCTATCGGGAGCTCAGCAGGTCTCCAAATGAAGCCGGGAATGGGGAGGCTGATGTGGAAGCCTCAAACCCACCTCTCTCCTTCACTGCACCTGGAAGCCTGAGGGAACTCCAGCAGTCTGGGCGCAGATATCCAGAGTCCTCCAGACACGCAGAGAGGCCAGTGAGGGCACCCCAGATCTCGGAGACGGAGAACTTTCAGGAGGTGGGGCCGAGTGCATGTCTCCAGGGTCCACCGTGATGTGCTGTCTGCTCATCACCCCAAAGCAATGAATGAGTCAAATTAATCATGTGCTGAGACTCCCCAAACTGTCACCCAAATTAACCTTTTTCTCTTTATAAGTTGGTTTATTGTATAGGATATTTATTACAATGATGGAAATCTGAGTAACACACAAATCATCCCAAATTTAGTGGCTTAAAACGACGATTTATTTTTCCTTGCAGTCTCATCAGATGATGGGCTCATCCGGGCAGCTGTCTGCTCGCTTGGTGCCCAGTCATTTGCACAACAGGGAAACTCATTTGACTACGTGCTGTTGGTGGCTGCACTGAGCTGGAAGGCCCGAAGGCTTCCTTCACATGCCTGATGCCCTGTCCTGCTCCAGCAGCCACCTCCTCCTCACACGGTGTCTCTGGGCCTGAGGGGCTCTCCCCACTGGGGAGACAGAAGCTGCCAGGCCTTGTAAGGGCCTGGTCCAGAAATGGTGAGACAGTGCCTCTTGTGTTCTCTGTGCCTCAGGAAGTCACAAAGCCAGCCTGGACTCAAGGTGAAGAGAATGAGGGAGACTCACTTCTCCTGCGGTGGCAAAGTGGCTTTGCAAAAGGCACATGGGGTGGGAGAAACCATTACAGTCACTGGTGGTGAACTACTGCATTCTCTCAAACATGGGCACCATGAAAAATAGTGGACGCCCAGATTCGTTCAAAACCGGGTAACTGAAACACACTCCACCAGTGTCCTCGGTCATGATTTTACTAGTTGTTTTTCTCTTTTGATCATTAATCTGAGTTTTTGGTCTTGAGTCCTTTTTACCTTTTTAATTCTACCACAGAACCTCTGTGACAGCCTGGAATCAAAGATGCAAAAAATTTCATATCCTGTAGCAATGAGTCACAGAAATATTTAAAAAAAATACTTTGATAAATTGAAATAAAAAGAAACGTACAGCCTTAAAGTATAAAGATATTCTCAGGGATAGCATATGGAAAAGATTTTAAGTTTTCCTGTTTGTAAAAATTTCCAGTCAAAGGCACAAAGAATAGTTTGCCATGCCAGATGCTCAGGTATTCCTACAGTAGAAAATTAAATAATAATTTGTACATATGAAGGTGACAATTTTTCTCATTTAATTACAAAGCATTAGACAACAGATTAACAACTGAGTTGAATAGGAATTAGGAGACAAAATAGTTTTAGCTTTTATTAAAATAAGCCAAACGTCATATTAGAATTAAGTTATATATACAGGTATAAAATCACCAAAGTAGTCTTATATCTGGGCTTTCTAAATATCTTAAGCTAAATTAAAAATCCATTATATACATTTAACATAACAAAGTATTTTGTAATGAATTGTTTGTGGTAGTTTAAATTACTGTTATTTTAATTATCAGATGCTTATACCTACAATTTCAAGTGATTTGAAATAGAACTGCTTATATATTCTAAAATCATAAGTAGAGACATAGTATCTTCAATACGACAACGTTTAGAGAAAAGGTTGGTCAGTAGTAATCAAAACAGAAAACCTCTAACATTAAAAATACAGACCATTTATATGCCTATTTGACATACTCAGTTTGATTAAATTATGCTTCTAACTAAAGTTGACTAAGCCAAATCCTTGTTGCCAAAAAAGACAAATATAATTCAGATATATTTGTAGAATTTCATGAAGTTTTCATTTATTAAAATTACTGAGGTTTTGCTGAAAATAGAAATCTACTAAATGTTCTTTTTTCTAATGAATATCTTAGTATTTCACAGTATGTGTTATTTTTAACCTAATTAAACCCTGATGAATGACTACATATTCTTATGTATTTTAAGAGGACACCTGTTTTATTTACATGAACTAAAATCTAGCGAGGGTATAGTGTTGCACACCTGTAGTCTTAGCTATTCAGAAGGCAGAGGCAGAAAGATTGCAAGTTCACTGCCTGCCTGGCCAATTTAGCAAGCTCCTGTCTCAAAATAAGAGGAGGAGGAGGAAAGAAGAGCTGAGGATATAGGTCAGCACTGGACTGTTTGCCTCAAGGCCCTCAATCCAGTCCCCAGTATGGCAAAAGAAAAAACAAAACGAAACAAAACCCGAAGGAAAATTAGTTTCAAAATCCACTTTTGCTGGAATCCTGGCTACTCAGGAGGCTGAGGCATGATTATTGCAAGTTTAAGGCCACCTTGAGCAACAAAACCAGAACCTATATCCAAATAAAATAAAAAAGAAGGATCTATGTAGCTCAGTGCCAGGAGGACTTTGCCTAGTACATATGAGGTACTGGGTTTAATCTTCAATACAGAAAAAAAAAAAGCCACTTTTGTTCACCATCATTTTTGTTTATAAAACTTACCCTCTGTTTAACAGTTGTTTGTGAGCTACTATTGCCTGGATGCAATAGGTGTAGTGTGTTTGCGTGACTATAGGGGGTAATGTGGGAGGAAGAGAGGGAGGGGAAGGGAGATATCTCCTGGCTAGATCATAAACATCAACATTTTATCTTGGTGTTGCTTAAAAATATCCTCTAGCAAGCCTCTTCCAGTGGGAAACACACACACACACACACACACACACACACACACACACACAGAGGAACACAAAGTGCTACAGAGAATCAGAAGTGCAGGGCTGCAGGGAGTCTGAACTCTAGCTTAGCTACCTTCTTATCTTACAAACAGGAAACAACAGCACAGAAGAGATACATGCTGTGTCAAGAATACACAGAGGGTTGCCATGAGCCTTGACCCTGACTGTGCTAATTCTCAGATCAAATGATCTCTGTTGGTCTCTAATTATTTTAAATATCCTTAGGCTTTCATTAAAACAAGAATGAAGTTGTTAATGATTTTAATAGAAAACAAACGTACACCAGAACAGTGTGTGTGTGTGTGCACGCATGCATGCATGTGCGTGTTGTGGCAGGCACAGAACCAAAGGTCTTGGGCACAGTTAGGCCTGTCACTGGACTGAGGTACACTCTTGACTCTATGAGTGGTATCTCTCCTTTATATCCTAACTACACGCATTTTAAAAACCTGTATCTTTACCATTAAACTACTGTAGTACCTTACAAGGACTCCCACATTTTTTTCAAGATACTACTGCTTGTGGAATTCTGGTGATACATTCTAACATAAAAAAATTTTTTTTCAGTAGGGTGGACTCTGTGCCATTCACATTGTATCAAAACCAGGACTAGAACTTTCTAGGGGTACAAATGACCAAAATAGTGCTAAATTTTTCAAAAATTTCAATTCTATGGCAAGGACACTAAAGGAGCATGAAACATCTTAACCAAACTTAATCAAATTTCAAAATAACTTAGTGAAGTTCTTATGCCTTGTAATTGGGAAGTCAGCAACGCGGTGAAGAACTCAGGAGGAGGAAGAGCTTTCCGCTCCAGCCCTGTACGGCCTCAGGGAAAGCTTTACTTTCATCTTTCCTCAATCATCTCCCTAACTATAAGGGTTTGAAAGCCCCTTGGTCACAACTTTTTATTTTTATTTTTTTGGTACCAGGGATTGAACTCACAACCTTGCTCTTGCCAGGCAGGCCCTTGCACCACGGAGCTAAATCCCGGGCCTGATCACAACTTTTTATTTATTCTGTTTATTTTTTATGTATTTTCGAGACAGGGTCTCACTATGCAGTGCAGGCTGGCCCTGAGCTCACTTTGTAGCACAGGTTGGACTTGAACTTGCAACCATCTTTCTGCCTCAGCCTCCTGAGTGCTGGGATTATAGGCGTGAGCCACCACGCTCAGCTTAATCACAACTTTTAAATGATTCACTGTACTTAAATTAATCTTCGAAAAGTGACCAGCTAAAAAGGCTTGATGGAGCAAGTCGGAACAATTTCCAGAATTGAACAGAGATTGAAGATAATCTTAGCACCTAGACTTCCAGGTCTAAGAGAAATCTAAATAATGTCCTCCACTGTGCTCTGTGACATAGGTAAAGCTGACATTTTTCATGGTAGGTACAGTTAAAATGGCTCAGGCGTGTGCAGACGTGTGTGCACGCATGCGCGCGCGCGCACACACACACACACACACACACACACACACACACACACACACAGACAGACCGAGATCAGTAGCAGCAGCCCAGTTTGCAAGTTCTCAAGCACATGCAACATGGAGAGTCTGAGGGAAACCAAGAGTGTAAGAGGCCATCAGAGACGTTGCACAGGGGAGCACTTGACCAGCATCGCTCATGATGGTGCTGCAGTCCTGGGGCAGCAGTAAGTTAAGTGGCTTGGAAGTCAGCAGGGGTGAGGCAGGACACAGCGGCCGCACGAGACTCCTGCGTTCAGGGCATAGTGACGGAATCAAGAGGGAAGCACCTGGGGTAAGGCTGCTGGCTGGAGACGTCACAAAACTCATGGCTAAATGAAGGTTAGAGACCTAAGCACAGCTGCCTCCCACAGGGCTGAGAAAGGAGACTTGCTCAGCATGGGGGTGAGAGGTCTGAAGTCAGAACTGAGAAAAGTGTGCCACACAGACAGACAGAAGAGCCAGAAGAGAGCCATAGCTTGAGGGCTGTGTCCCCAGCCACACAGGTCGAAGCTTTGCTACATGGCCTGGGACACCTAAGCAAATATACCGGGGGATGCCATCAGGTTGATTTCCTCGTGTGGGAATCTAACCCTAAAACTGCACTGGAGTACTCCTGTGAGGCTAGATGCTTTCTCCTCTCCGCTCCCCAGTCATACCTAGTGACTGACGGGGAAGGAAAGGAGACAGAGCAATAGTAGTTTGCAAAAAATTTTTTTTGTACTGGGGGTTGAACTTGCAACCTCATGCTTGCCAGCCAGACACTTACGTTGCTGAGCCAAACCTCTGGCCTGCAATGGTAGTTTGAAACAATTATTTTTATAGAGAGAAAGAACACAGTACTGATGACTTGGGCTTAGGACTAGACTTCTCAGAGTGTGTGAGTGTGTGTGTGTGTGTGTGTGTGTGTGTGTGTGTGTGCGCGTGTGTGTGTGGTGTTCCTAAGGACTGAAAAGGGCCTCCTCACCGAGCTACGTGTCCATCCCTTCTCAAGACAGAGTCCCCCTAAGTTGACCAGGCTGGTCTTCAGCTTGTAACGCTCCTACTTCAGCCTCTCAGGCTGCTGGGATTACAGACACGCACCAGTACAGCAGCTTGAACTAATTCTTAAATGAAAGTAACAATAAGGGAAGACAGACATCAACCCCTGCCAACCCATCTACTGTTAACAGAAGGCTGCTGCAATCAACAGGAGTAAAAGAAGCATGTGCTGACTTATTTTTCTGCATGTATGCTGCATTATACTACATAGAGAACGCAAGTATATATGTACATGCATGTAGGTGAGCTGCAGCACACAGGGGGGCTGGCAGTAGGACTGCTCACTTGAAAACAAAAAGCACTCTGAAAACTCAAAAGAAATTTGTCAGTGAAGTTGCCTTTTACCTTTTCTTCCTCATTTGCCTTGCATCTGTGGTATCATCCTATTAAAAATGCAAGAAAATGGGCAAATTTGAAGAGGCATATTACTGATAATAGCATGAAAGTCAGACCCTAACAGTTTACAGTCACACTAATGCTAAATGATCAAATAAGATCACTTAAAAGTCCTTCTAGTGAGCAATGACTATCGTTTAGATGCCGTGATTCCATAGTGAGTGGATATTCCCAAATAACTGACTGAGATTCTCTGGAAGTTCACAGAATCTTATTCATTCATTTGACTTTTTGAGACACAACCTTGCTGTGTAACCCAGACTGGCCTTGAGCTCCCCCAGGCTGTCTCAAACTCCTGGCAGCCCTTTTGTCTCAGCCTCCCGAGTGCTGAGGTCACAGGTGTGCGCCACCTGACTTACACGTTATGTTTATAAATGCAACACACTGTTGGGTATAAACATTGTGTTACTGTTTCCTTAATAACACTACACACTGAACTGAGTGCCAGATACACAGAATTTCTGGAATGAGGTTTATTAGCAAAATTTGACAAGTAACCATGCCAGGATGGGAGCAGAAGAACTGATGAAGCATTTTCATTTTTATTGATGGCCACATCACCATTTTGTGCCTTCTGTTGGACAGTGACACATAACCCTGTATTATTATTTTATATGAGTTCCTTGTTGGCAAACCAAAAGCATGTTTAATTATTCTGCTTCATTTTTTAGATGTCCAGGATAAAAAGCACCTATTATGATAGTTCAAATTTTATAATTATATATATTGTGTGTGTGTCTCTGTGGCTTACTGGGGAAAATATTCCAGTGGAATTCCTGTATCTCTATTGAGGTGTTTGCTTCATTTCTTGTAAGAAACACAAAATGAAATTAACTGAATGATAATCTTGACCTGTTTTTGCAAGCACTTACAATATTCAAGTTGATTACGATGTACCCAATAGTTTAAGGCTGCGTGCAGAGCGCTACAGCTGCAAATGCTTGCAAGAAAGTCCTGGCCATGACCGACAACACGCCCAGGGGGACTGTTGGGTACTGAGGTGACTCAGCCAGGAGGGAAAGAAAAGGCATCATGGTGTACACAGCCGATCAGTGGAGGGCATTACTGTCACGAGGGTGCGGATTCCCTTTCATTTGCCCTCTATTTGCCATGTATTGAATTTGTATGGAATTTTCTCTAGCTGGCCTTGAAAATAGAATCATCAGTGTCTCATAAAGTAGAGAAAGTCGCGTCTGCCTAAGAATCGACCTTTCAGGTTTCCTTTCCTACACCAACATAAAAACATAGAATAAACTACTCGTATTGTTCAACAGGCCTGGTCATAATGAGAGTGAATTAAAACACAGGAAAATACTGTAATTCCTGACACAAACAACGGCGAGGCAGATTTGATATTGCTTTAAGACACGATGGGGTCAGCTGAAGCAAGATGACACATAAATCTTTCTTTCACACGTCAAAAATTGTAAGTCCACAAATTCTCAGCATAGACTGTTTAAGGAGGGTCTGCTCTGATGAAATTGAAAATGTCTCCTCCATATGTGCAGTTTCAGGCCTTACAACATTTAAAGAAAATGTTCTAAAAGATAAAGTTGGCATGTGAAAAGCACAGGGAAAGGAATCAGCAACGATCAGACCAAAACAATTCTAGAAGGCATCTTAATTTTCATATGGCTCATTTGCATTTGAAACACTGAATTCCTATCTTGCTTGTACAAAAATATGTACATATCAAGTTACTTCACACTTGAAAGAACATTTTCCTAAATGTTTGGAAGATGATCAAATTTTAACTGGAGGACTTGTTTTCTTCCATCAGGTGTGGGGGAGATGTGGCTTCCTGGTATGAGAGGCAACAGTTGATTCTAATAGCAGAACAAGACAAAAATAAGAAAGTAAATTGAAAACAATTCTTTTAGGTACAGTTCGAATTAAAGGCGGTAGAACAAAAAGGATACACACAGTACAAAGATGTCAAAAGGCATCAACTTAAAAATTACGCTTGGTTACCTTTCCAAAAATTGTGAGTCTCTGATACTTGAAAATTATGTTCTGTAAGTTATTCTAAGATTTTTGTGGATATACTATTGTTTATTTCAATATACTCATTTGTGAGTATCTAGTCAATGATTAAAGGCAGCTTTCCACCAGCTATTAAACAATAATTCCCATCTCAGGCTTTTAAAAGCTCGGACAGTTGGGGCACAGCAAAGGCTCTCCTATCTTTACTATCATGGATAGATACTATTTAGTCTTAGGAAGTTGGTGGTTATATACTCAGACTAAGAAGCGGGGATCTAGGTAAAAATTTGGACCCACAAAGTAAAACCACATCTTTGTGTAACTTAGTTTCTTTCCTGACCTGATAAAACTTCTAGAATTGTCCTCAGGAAGAAAAGTTTTCTGAAAGGCATCTTTGTCCTTCTCCTGGCCTTGACCTCTGGGGACGTCCCTGGCAGAGGGCGCTGTGAGTGTGGCCTCAGGATGTGGTGCTGTGTACACTGCCTGTGCAAGGGACAGGTGCGTTCATTAGGGACACAGAACGTGACAGCGTCTTCGTAAATGCGATCGTCTAGTGCCTGCTGCTTGTGTGGCCTTCTCTGGTCCCAGGGATTTGGGAGGCCTTTGTCCCTGGGTGGCAGTGGCCAAGCTCAGGCTGCGCTCTGAGCCTCGAAGGCCGGTACCATGCAGATCCCCAAGGAGAAAATGGATCAAGGTGTCTGAAAGGCAGGATGGGGCGGTGACCTGTGTGTCCCTCCCAGGCCAATGGTGGGGAATAAGTCACGTGGACGGCTTGAAGGGGGGAAGGTCTTTCATACATAATTCACACTGTATTTTCAGATTGTTGCTACAAAAGTACTTAGACAAATCCTAAGCATCTTAAATGAAAGCTGCATTGGGATTGACTTGCAAAAGATTAAAAGCGAAAGGTAAATGGCCTGTGTAATAAAACTTTACATATGCAGCGGTTTTGGAGACACATAAATAATTTAACATTTCATTTTATGGATTTAGTCTGATCTGTGTCTCTTAACAAATTTTTATTTTAACCATTAGGGGATCAGAAAAAAATAAAAAGATTGCTTTTTTCCTTTATGGAATATGTGCTACGGAGAAGATAAATGACTAACAATTACACCAAAGCTAGATTAAGGGAGCACAAACGGTGCTGACGGTCAGTCTCTGATAAATTGGAGATTATCATCTTGATTTATTAAGACACAATGGTTACCTACTTGCACACTTGAATAATGTTTAGTAAGCGCCTTTTGTAAGTCAGGTATTGTTTTCGGTATTGGGATTTTACAAAGTGAGAGGAAAACAAAAGACAACAAACCTACTTCCATAAAGTTTATGCTTTTGTTTCAGTTTTCTGAAAGTAAGTAGATAACAACTGTGGAACTAACACGTGTCACAGTAGTCACCATTTTGTTTCACAATATTGGCCCATTTTAAGACCACTTCTGGTTCCCTGGTATCTGGTTTCCTGCTGTGTACCTTGCAGAGCTCGCCCTAGTGTGTTTGTTTGTGGTACTAGAGAGTGAGTTTAGGGCTGTGCTGCCATGGAGCTGCATCTCCAGCTTGCTCTTAGTTTTGAGGAAAAGCTTAGGAAAAGCAAACTTAGCTGCCTGCATGTGTGAAGGGAAGAGGCCTGTCTCCTTTGTTGTGCATCTAGAGGCTACGGAAAGGACCTGGGATTCTGCTGTAACCGTGGTAAACAGTCCCGTTTTTACTCTATGAAGTTACGTATGTTTGATCAATGTGCAGACTGGGCACAGTGGTGCACACTTGTATTCTAGCTATTCAAGAGGCTGATGCAGGAAGATCGCTTGGATTTAGGAGTTGGAAACCAGTCTGGGCAACATAGTGAGGCCTTGCCTCCAAAAACAAAACAAAACAAAACAAAAACAAAAACAAAAAACCTTGGAATAAGATTTTCATAGTTCTGGGTTTTATTACATCAATCACCAATATTTATTAAGATAAATAAATGTACCTAAACCAGAAAAAAAGTGTTGGTGGCTACCTAGTCATTCTGAAAGGCAGAATGCGGGGGAACATTTATGGCCTTTTAGCGTGTGGACAGAAGTACCTGCTGCCGCCTTCTGCTCTTTCCCTCACTGCGCGCTCTTCTTTTCCCTTGATCCTCGCGAAGAGAGTCAAAGTAGGGACTCTCCAGGAGCTGAGCGCAGGTTAACCTGTCATCTGGGTTCATCTTCAGACACCCCTTGGAAGAAGAGAAAAGCAAAAGTACACTGAGAAAAGGGCTTCCTTTGTTTCTGGGTCCCAAAATTCTGGATGGTAACCTGAGAGGGTAAATATGAGTTTAAAAAACAAGTGTGCGTATTATCGAGTCCTCAGAGTTGGCTGCTGCCTCTTCTACTGCTTCAGTCCTTTTGTGGGGGGCTGTGTGGATGCTCACCCTGCCTGCAGGGGCCACCTGAGTGCCACGTGCTCCCATCGTGACTTCACCACGGGTGACAGCAAGCCATCCGTAGGAGCCTTCAGAGTGCTGTCCTTGGAGCAGCGGCACCAGCCAGAGTGGGTTTGACAGGTGCTGGCTCTGAACTGCAAATTCCAGGGTCCTACCCAACACCACCCCATCAGGAACAGGGAACTGTGTTCACGGTTAACAAGCCCTTGGGTGGTTCTGGGTGCCTCATGCTTGAGTATGAGGACACCTGTTTAAGGAGATGGTGAGGAAATGTGAGCCTCAGAGAGGAAATGAGAAGGAATCTAAAATGGAGAGAAAGGGAATGTATTTTCATTGAAGAGTAACCAGAGGCCAAAGAAATAGTGGCACTATGACCCTTTATATTTGAGGGCATCAGAAGGCTCTAAATTTGTCTCCCAGCATGAGGCATAGTGACACAGAGGAGCTGGCAGCAGTCCTGACACAAAGAGAATCCCTATCTCCAAGAATCCCTCATACTCTGGCCAGAGAATGAAGCTTTTCTCACTGGTACAGGCAGACGGCAATCTGTAAAGACAGGCGGTGGCATGATACCCAGGCACAGATGACCTGAAAGCTCTTGCCTTGTGTCCATAAGAAATACGCTTCTCTAGCATCAGCGACTTTGTCCTGAGGTCTTCAGGAGTGCAGAAAACCACACTGCCTGAGGCTACACTAGCCAGAGAGCTGCTCCCTAACCCAGCAACCTCAGGTCACTGAGATCCCTGAGAAAGCAGCCTATCCCAAGCATATCACCTACCCCTCGAGCATTATCTGATTAGTCCTGTTTTTCCAGAAACAATCCAGCCTAGCATAACCAGACTCACCTGTCCCCTCTTGCCTACAGCCTGGTCCAGGCAGATCACCCCCTAATTAACAAAACTCATCCATGATTAGCTCCAGCTGCTACTGGGAGGCAGTCTCCTCAAACCCTTTAATGCTGTCAGGATTACCATCAGGACAGCAAGACTTTGGTGTTTTGGGGGACGGGGTCTCATTGTGTAGTTTAGCCTGGTCTTAAACTCAGTACATATCCCAGGCTGACTTTAAACTCATAATGATCTTTTTTTTTTTAATTTTATTTAAGGAGAAAAGAATTAAAAAAAAGCAGGGAAAGGGTACAAGTTATACAGATTTACAGAAGAAAAAAATGAACAGTAGGAAATCACTAGTTAATGGATTACATATTGTCATCTTAGAAATAATTGTTCAAGTCACAAAATTAAAGCTTGTAAACTGGACATTCCATCAATGATACTGCAAACAGTTCTGTTCATTGATCCAATAAAACTCTGTGATATCATTTTCTATCTTATACACTTAAATATACATGCAGTTATATAGTTTGGAGCACTTTCTTTTCCTCTCTTTTGTACCATGACTATTACACATTTTGGGTTTCATTGCTCCCACGGTTCTTATTGCTTTTTTGGAAGAGAGTAAAACCAAATGTGACATAACAGAACAGAATTGGTCAAGTCAAAAGGGTGGACATAATACATAATGTAAAAACATAATACAAGGTGATCAACAATGGTTACCATAATGCCTCCCACTATCTCTAATAGAATTGCCTATATCGTTAGTTATAATACAATTGTAAACTCATAATGATCTTTCTGCCTGCCTCCCAAATACTGGGATTGATATATGCTACCACACTCGATTCAGAAACACTATTCTGGATAAAAACTGTGGTAGTCTCTTTATCTCTTCCTGGCTTCTGACTTTCATTCCATTTAAATGGCTCTAGTTATCAATACCAATGAACTCTATTCTTAATCCAACAGGCATGCTCAGTTCTGGTCTGAGCAGTACGAGTACTAGTGATGGGGTCCTCCTGGAAACGCTCTCTTTAGCTTGTCTCACTTTTCTTCTTCCTGTCTTCTGATCACTCCTTTCAAACCAGCCTTTGCTAGTTTACGATCTCCACGGTGATTGTATGAAGTTCCTCCAGGTTCAATCCTAGCTGTCCCTAGTTTCTTCTATTCTCTTTGATCCCATGGAGTCAAACATCAAGGCGTACTAGAATTTCTCACATCTGTAAACGTATTGTAGACTCACCCTCTGAAATCCAGACCTGCACGTATAAACACCTATTTACTGTCCCTTAAGTATCGAGGGCACAGTTAGGGGTTGAATTGTGTCCCCCCGTACTTCAGGATGTGATCTTACTGAAAATAACATCTTTATAGATGTAATTAGCTAAGATGAGATTATAGTGGAGTAGGGTAGCCCCTCTGGTCCAGTTATGATTGAGTTTCCATAAGAAGGCAGACACTGGAGACACAGATCCACAGAGAATGTCATCTCAAAGAATTTTGCCCTGGATGGGAAGCTGCAGCGGTGGGAGGCTGGGAGGCAGAACCAAGAGGCTCTATCTTGAGGTCATCTTCCCGGCCCCTAAGCCCTACCTGTGTGTCGAAATGAATTCCAATGGGCTCCCTGTGCATCAGTAACGCCCCTTAGGCTCCACTCCAAACCTAAGCTGCATGTATGCCCCCACACCACGAGTCGGGCAGAGAGAATGCCAGACCCTGGAGGTCATGGAGTGTCTCTCCACATTCCTAAAATAAAGGCCACTTTTATTTCATGCTTCTTATCTTTTTAGCCGTGCCGAAAATTCTATCACCATCCAAGGACAGAGGCAGACAGAAAGCAGAGTTATGCTACCACCAGCCAATGAACACTTAGGGCTCACAGAAGCTAGAAGAAGCAAGAAAAAAATCCTTGCCAACAGTCTTCAGAGAAAGTGTGGACCTGCCAACACCCGGGGAACTGATCTGGCACTTCACACTTGCCTCTCTCTTCTGCTTTGCCTCCCCCCCAGAGAAATCACAATCAACTCTATCAGTTTTACTTTCAAATACATCTTGAAGTCATTCACGTTCTTATGTGGGCTCTCAACCTATTGAGATCTAGCCTATCGTTAAATGCCTCTAAGTTAAAAAAAAATTTTTTTTTTATTTCAAAGAACATTTTTAGGTAAGAGGCTGCAAATGCTGAGCTGCTCTTTGGGAGCGGGACTAGAACAATGTCCTCGATTAATTTTGGGACTGCTGACACTGACTGGGTGGAGTGGGTGCTTCTCTGAGTCTATCTCGCCTGCATTAATAGCCTTTTCTGTAATTAAGAAGCCAATGCGTTCTCAGAGGAAGTCTTTGACAGATGTGCTTCTAATCTGGAAAAGGTCCAGAAGACGGGACATAAGAAACTGGAACTGTAAAATCCAAAACGGGATCCTTTTCTTGAAAAAAGCAAAATAGTCAATCCTTTTTTAAATTTGGTGGCAAGTCCTCCCCTACCATTTGTAATCATCTACGGTCTTTTTCTTAAGTGACTGGACTAAAGCAGCAATTTGGCAAGATGGTCACAACCACAGAGACAAATGAACAATAAAGACTGTGCTCAGGGTCTTGTTCTAAACCCAACGAAAGGGACACAAAGGCCCTGGCACAGACTGGCTGACGCATGCCACCGCCATCCCCAACACTTCCCCTGCACAGGGTATGACCTGGTCCCATGCGCTAACCACCTGTGATGGTAGCCAGTATTTATTTGGTGTTAAATATGTCTCAATCTTTTTTTCATGGGCAGGACTCTAGGAGATAGGACATGGCCATGGAATAGCAGAGCTTGATCACATAGAAAATCCTCAGGTCTATGGCCAATACTTAGGGCTCCTATGATTCCGCCTTCTCTTCTGGTAGATATATCAGGACAGTTACTACTTAAACTTGCTTGAACTGTAATTATTTTATAGTTCCTTATCATTTTTAGCGACTGCTTTGGCATTATTTGCTCCACTGTCTACCTCTCTCAGAATTAACTGGTTTCAATTATTACAATTTGTATGTGATCATTATTATAATAAATCCTTAAGTACCTTCATGAAATTCAAAGCCTCAGGATGAGCATCTGAGAACTTTTCCTCAAGAGTTTCCTAGAAAACAAAGAATATCAATGTTACATAACAACAAAGTAATATATTTTGTATAGACTGACAATAACACTTGGACAAATATTCTTCAATATGTTAGAGAATTCCTTTTTAAGTTTGTTAAAAATATATGCCATAATGTAAGTGTCTGAGAGACATAAAATTGGGAGTTATTTTCTTAATTTCAAGATATCTTATAATTAATCAAGATATCTTGTAAACTAGTACTTCTAGGTGGGAACAGGATGAGGAAGCTTCATATATATAAATATTTCAATCTGAAATTCTACTGCAGTATTATACAATATCTGTGCCTGGCCTATTTACAAGGATGCTCTGAGAATTCATGAAAATATTTTGAATTATACATATAAGAGCTCTATAAAAATCAGCAGAACGATAAGCACAATACTCAGAATAGTGGGGAGGGAAGGAGAGGGGAAAGCTTCAGTAGTAATATTCTACTTCTTTCACTGAACAGCAGAATCTTGTGAGTTTTGTTGTATCTTGTTCTTTTTTTTAAACTGTTCTTATCTTAGAAAAATTTATACACTGTACAAAAGTAGAATAACAAGGATCTCTAATACCAGACAGCTGGCTTCAACAATGACCAAATCATAAGCAATTTTCTTTGATGTATAAACATATTGCTTGTCAGCTTTTTACCACTAGGAATTATTTGGAAGCAAATTGCAGACATCACGTCATTTTTTTTTTATCGGTACCGGGGATCGAACTCACGACTGCCTGCTTGCAAGGCAGGTGCTTATGCTGCTGAGCTAAATCCCCAGCCCCGACATCATGTCATTTTAATTTTTTGCTAAATATTTCAATATAAATATTTAAAACTCAAAGGCATCTTTTAAGGTGGGCAATCCCAGCAATCTTCAAGGCAAAAAGATCACAAATTCAAGCCCAACCTGGGTAACTTAGTGACATAAAAAAGATTCCATCTTAAAAAAATACAGAGAGCTATGGATGTAACTCGGCACAAAGGACTTAGGTTCAATCCTCAGTGTCACCAAAATTTTAAAAAGCTATCTTTTAAAAAAAGCATCAAGATATCATTTATTATATCTAAAAAACTTTTAAGACTTAACAAAACTTAATATCCATTAACTCTAGTTGGTATATAGAATTCTCTACTTACCCTCTCATTTCTAATTTGAGTCCAATTAGGTTCATTTGTAATGATTATAGGATTGTGAAGTCTCACAAGCAATGTAAACATTATATACCACAAACAGGTACTAATAAAAATAATAAAAAATAAATAGCCTGTTCTTTAAACACACGTTACCTAAATAAATATCCTTTCACTAACTTTAACTTTGTAACTCAACCTTTAACCTTATGTTTATTAAAGATTTTAAGAAATAGAATAAAAAACCCATAACTTAAGGTATGGTATTAAATAATCAACTTAAACAATGTCCAGAGAGCCAGCTGGGACCATTTGAACTTCATCCTGTTCACATGCACCGTAAGCCAGGTCTTGGCTCTGCAGACCTTTTCAGGCCTTGAGCCGCTCTGGCTTGGACACAGTGGCTGTGAGGACACACACGTCTCGGGACATCTTTTCCCTCCCTACGCAGCTTCTAGACCACAATGAGTTACAAGGTGACAGCCTGAACTTGGGTAACACAGACAGGAAACTGATGTCTTCAGAAGGTAAAACAATCAAGTGGCCACCGATACACGCCGGTTAAAGGAAAAGACCACACCGAGAACACAGAGGTGATCACTGATTTGAGTTTTACGAGTTCACTGAGAATCACTTTGTAGAATGATCTTCAGTGGGGAAAATGTAAGTTCTTTATTATTTTTATTTTTTTCAGTTGATACCAGGGATTGAACTCATTACCACGCATTTGCAAGGCAAGTGCTTATGCCACTGAGCTAAATCCCCAGCCCGAAAATGTAAGTTCTAAAACAAAGTTTTTAAAATTGATTTGAGCTTGGTTTCACAAGCTGAAAAACAAGATAATGCATGTCTTCAAAATAAAGTACATGACTGTAAGTATGAGAAATAATTATTTCCAGGAAAGTTAACCCTAGCATCTTGACCAAGAGGATCATGGTATTACTTAAGATTTATAAATATACTTTCAATTAAAAAAGTTTTTTTTGTCTTTTGAGACAGGGTCTATGTAGTTCAGACTGGACTTGAGCTCACTGTGTAGCCCAGGCTGGCCTCGAACTCGAGGCAAATCCTCCGGTCTCCGGCTCCCGAGTGCTGGGATTACAGGCGTGTGCCCCTGTGCCTGAATTTGTATTTTTAATTTAAAATTTAACATCGATATTTGAATAGATAGGACGGGTAAAACTTTAAAACAGTTTGTGGCTAACTTTTTGAATTTTTTTCTATGCATCCTGGGTTGGTCTTAAACTCCCTGGCTCGACTGAATGTTTTTCCTCAGCCTGCTGGGTAGCTGGGACTTCGGAGCATCCCACGATGCTTGTCTTATGCATTCTTATCGTAGTTTCTCTGTGTTAGATTTCATACAGAAAACAGAAGCCAAAAGCACAAATATTAAAAAGGAACAACTACCATTTTTTTTTAAAGAAAGCAGGAAATAATAAAATGCCCCCAACAGAGCTGCTCACCATGTCTTCAGGTTCAGGAATACTGATACCATGGAAAAACTGGTTACTTTTAAAGATAGATTGATGTCTCGGGATTAGTTTTCCTGTAAAATACAAATCACATAATTCATGATAAATCTGGAAGAAAGTCAGCAGTGTCTCAACAGCCAGCTTCCAAAGCCCAGATATGCAGGGAGTGCGCCTTGGTGGTGAGAGCTACGTACGGGTGCCTACCAAAGTCCTGTCTGCTTGGGTGAGCAAATTTCTCATAGGATGTTTTTTGCTACATGGGGTTCAGTCAGTCCTTCGGCTTCCATCAAAATGGTGCTGAAGACCTCACACACATTACCTCATTTAACCTCACAACGTACTGCTGTTTTGAATCTCCACCATCAGTGAAGAAAATGTGGTTCAGAGAGGTTTACAAGTTTACTCACATGGTAATTAAATGACTGAGATGGGAGTCAGACTCAGGTCTGGGAAGTGTCTGTCTAATGAATTTAGGAAACACAAAACACACACTGAGGGTACAGCCAGTAGCGATACTCTATGCCATGCTTTCATGATGTGGACTTTTCCAGGAGAACATGTGGCAAACAAGGGGGCACTGTCCAGAGGAGTTAATTCACAGCCGTCCTTTGTGCGGAAGCATCACTTCCTTCCCATCACGCTGCTGGGGTGAAGCGGCCGCCAACATTTGGGTGCGTCAGGCCAATCGTGAAGGTTCCCTGACCCTCGGTTTCTGTTTTTCTTTCTTTTCTTCCTCCTTCCTTCCTTCCTTCCTTCCTTCCTTCCTTCCTTCCTTCCTTCCTTCCTTCCTTCCTCCTTCTCTTTCTCTCTCTCTCTCTTTTTGGTACCAGGGATCAAGGCCCTCCTCATTTATAAAACAGGCACTATTAAAAATGATATAGCTAGGAGCTGGGGGTTTAGCTCAGCAGCATAAGCATCTGCCTTGAAAGCAGGCAATTGTGAGTTCGATCCCCGGTACCGATAAAAAGGAAAAAGACAAAAAAAAAAAAGAAAAGAAAAGAAAAGAAAAAGATATAGCTTCATCAACAAGTTTTTCTTAAGATTACAAAAGATAATGTGTATGAAAGTAATTTGTAAATTCTTGAGTACCATTCAAATAATGTATGTTAATATTATTTTAAACTCTAGGTGTCACTTTCATCCAGGAAAAAAAAAAAAAAAAAACCACCAAAACCACAAACAAACAAACAGAGTCTTAAGCTCTAGGGGAAGGGTTTTGCAAACTAAGGCCTGAAGCCAAATCTGGTCCAGTGCCTATTTTTGTACAGCCAAGATCTGAGAATGGCTTTTACCTTTTCAAGTGGATTTTAAAAAGTCAAAATATTTTGTGCCATGCAAAACCCACAAAAATTCATAGACATATTGTGTATGGTTGTTTTTGCATTATAAGAACAGAATTGAGGGGGCTGGGGATTTAGCTCAGCGGCATAAGCACCTGCCTTGCAAGCAGGCAGTCGTGAGTTTGATCCCCGGTACCGATAAAAAGGAAAAAGACAAAAAAAAAAAAAAAAAAAGAACAGAACTGAGGAGTTGTAATAGAGACTGTATAATATACAAGACCCAAAATACTTATCATCTAGCCTTTGACAGCAAACAACTGCTGATCTCTGCACTAGAGTAAATGGTGGAACCTCTCTTGTAGTAGACAGAAATTGTATGTGATCAAGTATCTCTCAGATTAAGCTCTAGGCAGCTGACTCCTATTTCTATTTCACTCTGCTATGAAGATAAATGTACAGTGTATTCCATGACTGACTTTTCGTGGAAAGGCATCTGAAAACTTGCTAACAAGAATTACAGTTCTGTATGTTGAGAAAGGATTGTGCTTTGGCCACAACACAGAATCCAGAACCACCATTCTGTGTAGAACTTTGGAGAAGCAATAAAGCTCTTGTTTTCCATCTAATAAGATGTTACTATAACATGTCAGCAACTCTGTGAGCCATAAAATACAGTTCATACCCAGTGTTCTGATTATCAGATAAAGTTGGTCCACATCTGATTTTCCAGGCCAGAGTGGCTGGCCTGTCAAGAGTTCAGCAAAAACGCAGCCAGCAGCCCAGACATCGACTGAAGAACCATACTGTGTGTCTCCCACGAGGAGCTCGGGAGCTCGGTACCACCTAGTGGCAACGTAATCAGTGTAGGCATCTCCTGGAACTGCAACGGCATCAAGCAGGTCAGGTAGTCAGACTCTCCTACGCGGTGAACTGTGACCTCTCCTGAGAGCTGGCCAGCCATTCAGGGAGGCCTCGCTAACTCCCAGAGGCACTGTCTGCTCACAGCTTATGCACTGAGGCACTGTGGCTTACACTAAGCTTACCTCATGCCCTGAGATAATAAATTCAACCTTCACAAGTACCTTAGCTGTTATCTGCATCATCCCAGAGGGGGCAAAATAAAAATTTCTGTACTGTGACTTTATGTCTAAGCCATCTATTGTTTGTTTCTATGTTACTATCAGAATGGTGCTTGTTGGTTAAATTGTGTCTCCCCTAAAACACAGCTTTGAAGCCCCAACTCCTGGTACTTGTAAAGGTGTCTTTATTTGGAAATAGGAAGAGAGCATAAAAAGAATTACAATACATTAGGTACATATACCAACTCCCTAGGTGAATGAAATCACCTACTGCAAACATACACTAATAAAATATTTTGAAGAAGGAAATAGGGTCTTTGGAGATGTTTAATGGATTTCTCATGAGGTCATGCTAGATTGGGGCAGATCCTAAATTCAGTGACTAGAGCCCTTACAAGAAGACCATGGCCTTCCTAACACCTTTGTGTTTCTGGCCTCTAGAATGGTGAGAGAATAAGCTTCTGTTGTTTTAAGTCACATAGGTTGTGACAATTTATTATGGCAGCCCTAGGGACTAATGCACTGCTGGCCAATGGCACAAACCCAATTTTTCTATCTAAATTCGTGCTGTAGGGCCCATTGTGACAAAGAAGTTTGACTCCTTGTACTGTCAGTGACATGTACTGTGAGATAGGCAGGTGACAAGAGAGCTGGGTGCAATGTTACAAGCCAACCCTGCCCTACTGGCCCAGGCCTGAGGCACTTGCCTCCCAAGAGTGTGGAAGCCAGTCCACAATTGCCACAGACCTGGAAGATTCAGGAACCCCAATTTTTCCTCTGAGGCTGAAGACAATGGATAAGGACTTTGGGCTTTTAATGGGCAAGAGTCGCATATGAGTTCCACAATGACGTCTACAAATGCTCAGGGGGAGAAGAGCTGGGAAGCTGGCTTGGTCTGCAGCAAAGGCCTCAGGCAGCCAGCCTGTGCCTGCCTGAAAGGCATCTCAGAAGCAGGGCCTGCAGCTCTCCACTCAGCACAGCCCTTGCAGGAGAAAAGAACACTTACTGCTCTTTCATAAAGTTATAAACTGTTCATTTTAGGTGATAAAACCTGATGACTTCTTTAAATGACACAAATTAATAAACACTATTTAGGAAATTTGGAAATGAAGAATAAGAAAGAAAATAACAACTAATGACAATTCTCACCATTCATTGGTTAAATCAGCTGTTAGATTTGGGAAACCTTTTCTAAAATTTTTAAAAAGTAATTGAATAAAATATAATATAATAAACAGAAAAAAGGAAAATAAAGTCAAGTTTTACCACTTGAATATATCATAAATTAATCTTTTGGTGTTTTTCACACAAATATTATTCTTTTTTTCACTTTTTATTTTTTATTACTACACATTTCCTTTACATTCCTTGTGGGGATACAGTACATGTAAAACATCTCAATCTTTTTTGAGTACTTCTGACTACTGTCTATCTAATAATATATAATTTTGTATATTGATATTTTCATTTAATTCTCTATATTTACCAAGTTATGATAGACTTGAGTTTAATGATTGCCTGATGGCCTCACTGTGTATCCATGATTTATCTTTCTCAAATTTTCTTATACTTTGCCATTATAAACATCACCACAGCTCTGCTCCAAACTTTTCCTGTATTTAGGATTCTTTCTTCAGAATATATTTCTATAGGTGGAATCAGTAGATTGAGAGGCATGAACATAATTTATAAAATTATAAAATTAATTCTTTTCATTATAAAAAACTTGAAAAATACAAAAAGTGTAAAGAAGAAAATGAAAATCTCTTCCCACTCAGAGAGAAACCAGGGTAGTGTTTGGGTGCATTTCCTCTCTTTCTGATGTTAATATTGCACACCTAAAGTCACACCTGATTGGGACTGCTATGGTTTCTGTCTGGATATCCCTAGGATTTTTTGAAAGTGGCTGAATCTAGAGTTTGTGATTAGTTCACTGCCTAGTGCTGGTACGGCAGAATGAGTGCTGCGCCTGCCCTAGGGCGAGTAGCCTGCATACTGTATGAAGGAAGCTTGTTCCTTCCTGTTGCCTTTTTTGCTCTTGTTGCTTTTGCTGTCTTCTGCCACCATGAACGCTTGCCTCTCTGTCACACCATCCTCCTGTGGAGAAAGCTGATTATGGACTGAAACCTCCACAAACTGTGAGCGAAACAGACCTTTCCTGCCTTAACTTTGGCATCAGGTATTTTGTCTCAGCAATGAGAGAAAATGAACACAGGGACAACCTCTCTAAGTGCAGTTTTGTCTTTTTTTTCAATTAGCACCAATATTGTGAGAGTTGAAGCACCAATATTGTGAAAGTTGATCACTAAGATTCTTTAAAAGTATACAACTTAAAGCTTATATTAAGTCACATAAGTTCTTTAGCCATTTTCTTATTGACTTCAGTTCTACTGAAATTTTTCTTGGTAATAATTAGTTTTACAATGAATATTATGTTGTAAAATTGGTTTGGCAGGTGGTATCACAGGCTATCAGAGATTCCTAAAAGTAGAATTAAGGATTTAAAGGGTACTTTTTTGTTTTATTTTGAGGCGGGGGCTTGCTCTTCAGTTCAGGTTGACCTTGAACTCACTACGCAGTAAAGGCTGGTCTTGAATTCATAGAGATCCTCTTGCCTCAGCCTCCTGAATGCTGGGATTACAGGCATGAGCCACCATGCTCACCTCAAAGGGCACTTTGAAAAGTTTTTGACTGATAGTGAAAGATAGTATTTCAATGTGTATTTCTTTGATAGTGTGGAGGAAGATAATTTTATGGTAATTAGCCATTTTTCCTTCTATGAATTGTCTGTTACTAGCTTGTTAATCTTCCACTCAGAGCTTTAGTTTTTATAACAATTTACATAAGCTCTTTTTTTAATCAATTTATTAACAATCTTCAAATAGTCTTTCCTTTGATTTCTTGCTTTGAAAATCTTAGCCTGTCGTATGTTATCTTTTTATTTAGAGCTTATATATACACCTGGAGCTTTAATTTGTTTAGTGGTAAAATATATACAACATTTGCCATTTTAATCAATTTGGGGGTACAGTTAATTGCATTAAATACAGTGTGTGCAGCCATTAGTACTATCTATATCCAGAATCTTTTCATCCTTATACTTTAAAACTCTGTACCCCTTAAGCAGGTGTGGTAGTGTATGCCTGTAATCCCAGCACTTGGTGAGGCAGGAGGATCACTGTGAGTTTGAGGCCAGTCTGGGCTACATAGTGAGTTCAAGGCCAAAAAGCAAAAATAAATAAGTGAAAACCAAAATAAAAACAAACAAAAAACCCTAAACAAACCAAAAACAAGAAAACGCAAAAACAAAGCCAAAAAAACTGTACCCATCAACAAATAAGATATCACTCACTTAACCCCAGTTTCTGATACCCACTATTCTTTTTTTTCTGTCTCCATGATTTGACTAGTATAGGTACATTATATAAGAGAAATCACATAGCATATGACCTTTTAGTATCTGGCTTATTTCACGAACTTTTTTTTTTTTGAGACAGGATCTTGTAGGGAGCAGCGCGATAGCCCCATTGCTGCCTCTCCGCCTCTCCCTCCTATGGGCACATAATGCGCCTGCCTACATTAACCATAATCCTCTCCTGCTTACGTCACATACCCGGATGTGACGATGACCCATCAGAAACCACCCCGTAGCCTCTTCTTGTCCCACCAGCCCGCCGTTGGCCCATAAAGGATGCGACCACTTCCTGAATAAACGAGACTTGATTAGACTCCTCAACTTGTCTCTATCTCTCTGTCTCCCACCCTGTTTTATTCATCCTGTTCCCCCTCCAGGTACATACCCCACAGATTGATCTGCAGGCCAGATCAGAATCTCACTATTCAGGATGGCCTTGTATTCACTATGTACCCATGGTGGCCTCAAATTCACAGCAATCCTCCTGCCTCAGCCTCCCAAGTGCTGGCACTACATGTGTGCACCACCATGCCTGGCATACCAACCATGAATTTTTTTCAAGATGCATCCATGTTGCAACATGTTGTGTATGTGTATGTCTGCACACATGTGTTTATAAATGATGTCTTACTGGGTGTAAAATTGTGGGTTTGATTTACATTTCTCTAATGACTCAACACTGAGCATCTTTTCATGTCCTTTCTGGCAATTTGTGTATCTTCTCTAAAGACATACACACTGAAATCCTTTGCCCATTCTAAAATTAGTTTTTGTTGTTGGGTTGTAAGAGTTTTTTATACAATCTATTAATTCCTTATCAGACAAAATATAGAAAATATTTTCTACTTTCCTGTAAGCTGCCTTTTCACTGTTTATCCCCCCAACCATGTTTTCTTCTAAGAGTTTTACAGTTTTAGCTTATACTGTTAGGTCAGTGGTTATTAGCATTATTACTATTTATTTAGTAATTCTGGGGAATCAACCCAGGGTCTTGAGTACACTGGGCAGATACTCTACCACTGAACTATATCCCCAGCCCTGGCGATTCATTTTGAGTGAATTTTTATAAAGTTACTTCACTCTTTTGCATGTGGATATCCAGGAAGAGCCTACATTTTTATGTCAAGTCTACTGAGTCAATATCAGTATTATAGCAAATGAGGGGACACTTTTCTTTGCCTTTATCATTGCAAGTGATCAGCAATGACCCCAACAAGGACCCAAGCCAATACTTGTAACAGCTTGTGCTATTACCAGTGCCTGAGCTCATGTACTGGGGAGATTTTAGCCAATGCAAACAAGTTGGTAGTGTCTTGTACTACTGCTTGGCTTACAACAACCTATCAGAAGCTGTCATTACTGGGACTGCCATAGTTGGTATTTTGGGACATGTTCATCAAATCAGAACCTCTGAGACAGATGACTTACTTACTGAACTTAGGCCTAAAGCTCCTCATTAAGAGGATGACTATGTTTGCTACAAGAAGACTCAAAGGAAAGCAAGAATGCATATTCCTGAAAAATGTGCATTTTTCCTGTACTGCTGAGATGGTACTGTACACACAAGTTTTAATTTTCTTTTTCTACTTAGCATGTCTTGGACATTTTCAATGCCACTAAAAATGGTAAACATCATTTCTAATGGCTACCTAATATTTCATGGTATGAATGCAGTATGTATTGGTGAATAGTTTTCTGTGGTCTTTGATTTCTCTTTTCAGCCAGACGACACAGGGACCAATTAACACCAGGACTCCAGTATTTCTACTTAAGAACAGCAGCCTCAGAAGGACTTTATCTCCCTCCACCTCAATGCTTTTAAATATATTGTCAAGTCATTGCTATTTGGGCCATCAGAAAAAATTGTCACTATGAATACTCCTGTACAACACAGTATATTTTACTAACATGTTTTTACTTGCTACAAAATTCTAGATTCAGGGAGAAATAATTATTTGTTCCCCTTTTCTTAGCACTACTCTCTCCTTGATTTTCAGTTGACTTTTCCAGTCTCATTAGCTCCATGAAGCTGTTTTCAGCCCCTCTAGCCCACGTTAGTCTCTCCCTCCAGGGAACGTCTGCACCTTCATTTTAGTATTTTATTGCCAACCACTTTGTACGATTTTTTTAACTTTAGATGATAAGTGCATGAAGAACAGAATTCATCTTAAAGTTCTTTTCCACTCTTATGGAGAGAACAAAACACATTAAAGATGTCATCCAATCAATTCTACTGAATGGAGTAGAGTTGAGGTGTCAACTAATGTACTGCCTAAAAGGCTAAAGTAAGGTTTTATTTCTGAGTAACAACAATAAAACATCTGGCTTACATTCAATATCTTGAGTAAGAATTTACATTGTATCAGTTTATAATTATCTAAATTGGACAAAGTAGTAAAAGATTGACACTTACTTAGAATTCGTGCAAATCCGAAGTCACAGATCTTGATTATTCCTTGCTTAGTTATTAGAATGTTTTCAGGCTTTACATCTCTATGAATACACTGTAAGAGCAAGTTTGATTATTTTTCTGAGACATCAAAATGACAGATAATTTAACTTACCAGTTTAAATGATAGCTTATGATGGAAAGACAGATTTCCTTCATTTTTCTAGAAAAAGTTAAAATGACACTTATACATCTTATCATACAAAAGAAAAAATATAAATGTTGCTGCATTTGTTGAAGAAATTAAAATTGCTATATACAAAAACAGCATTTGATTTTTTTAAAGAAGGGAGCATCATACAATGCTTTCTTTAACTTTTTTTACTGGACTTATAGCAACTAAAAGAGGTAAAACCCTGAATGAGAGACTCTATATGTCTCTAATAAGAGCTGCTACCACTTGAGAGTCACAATTCAGGTTGAACATTACAGAGTTGAGAAATGAGAAAAACACTTAAATGATAAGAGACGCCAAATTTACTTTTCACCAGGATGACCATATTCCTTATCCAAATCAGGACACTTTCAATGTGAAAGGGGCTCGTTAATAATGATGCTAGAGAACAGGAACAAGTCAGAAGTGACCCGGGTAAGCCGGGACACAGTCCTTTGATCTGTATCTTTCCAGTTCTCCCACTCTCGGCCCCCAAAGCAAACGGATGAAAATGATACTGGTCTTCCAATAACTCAGCATTCATAGACAGCATTGTGATTTCCCAGCAAAACTGAACTTGTGACTTCAGGTGACCTCTTGAGAGCCTACAGATTCAGTGTCCCAATAATTATCTGTCAGCCTCAGTTCTCTGCCACGCTGTCAGTTTCTTAAGATATTTCTGTCAGACTGACAATTCTGAAATAGTTTCTTGGGTTCTACAATGGCCATCTAATAAGAGAAAAAACTAAACTCTTAATTCATGTTCGGTCACAAAAATGGCTCTAAGAGGCAAAGCTAGTTGCTAGTCTCAATTATTATGAATTGTCTCCTGTTTGTTGAACAGCAGTTAAAAGAAAGTGTTTAGGCCTTGCACAGGTCATAAGGCTTTAAATATTAATTTTAAAATGCAATTCTGGACTATAATACAAAAGCATTTTGATACTTAATTTAATCAGATGTTTAAGAAACTTAGATTAACACTTAAGTTAGTAAAACTTTCAGTAGTTAGTGATTAAGTAGAACTGGTTTGTCCTTTGAATGAATTTTTATCAAATTGTAGAATTTGATAAATTGATAATGTTACAGCATTACAAAGTAAACAGATTTACACTGGTACTTGTTTTTACTCTATTTAAATATTTCTTAATCTAATCTAATACAAATCCATGTGACATTTATAATACTTATTTTTAAACCCAAGAACAGACAAATGAAACATTGACAAATCTTAAAGAAATAGAAAAAATACTCGTATAGGGCTGGGGATTTAGCTCAGTGGCATAAGCGCCTGTCTTGCAAGTGTGTGGTGGTGAGTTCGATTCCCTGATACCGATAAAAAAGAAAAAGACCAAAAAAAAAAAAAAAATTTACTGGTATAGGTATAAGAAAGAAAGAGAGTAAAAACAATTGGAACAGGCTGGGTGCGGTGGCACATGCCTGCAATCCCAGCTCCGGAGGCTGAGGCAGAAGGGTCTTTGAGAGCTCCAGGCCAGCCTGGGCTGGGCTATATAGTGAGTTCAAGGCCAGCCTGGACTACAGAGCCACATCCTGTGTCAAAAAAACAAAAACCAAACAAACAGCAACAAAAAATCGCAAGAAGCAGAGCATGAATGACAGAGACATTCAGACACACAGCATTTGTTTTCTCCACTGTAAAGCCATACTCGGTGCAAAATCTCTGCAATGCTTGCAATCAGCTTATCTTCTACCAAAGAACAAGAAATATGCAAATCTCTTTAATGGAAGAATTTAGTAAAGTTGGACTTTATACATAGCTTTGAGCAAGCATTATTCAGGTTGGGTTACTGTGGCTGATGTACAATCTCATTTTTACTGGTTTACCCGCTGGCAAAAATAGGTTTATCTATGGAATTTCTACTCCTTCCCCCAGGCTGGGGATTGAACGCAGGGCTTCCTGTGTGCTAGGCCGTGAGTGCTATCACTGAGCTATATCCATCCTCAGATTTCTACAGGGTGTTTTAACCCTGATGTTGAACTTTTAAGAATCATTTCTGGAAATGTCTGCACCAGGAAACTCTTCTTGTGTACTCTGATTTGAATAACAGTGTTCCATATCTGAGACGGTTGCTCTCCTTACCTGAGATTTTGAGAACAAAGAGATGTCCTTCTCAACAACCGTAACATGCATGTCAATAAGTTGCCGATGGATGTTAGGGCCTTTTACACTCTTATCTCAGAAGTCACTTAAGTGTTGCTATTACAAATTGTATCTAATCAATACACCAAACATAAAATCCATAGGTCCATAATGTTAGTAAGTGGATCACTTTAGCTACCTCACTGTAGCAGAATTATAGGGTAATACAGAACAAGACAAGAAGGTATATTCTTAAGTCCAGTGCCGCTTGAATTTAATGTGTAAATGAATCACCTGGAATTTTTATAAAAATGCAGATTCTAGGTTTAGGGTAGGTGCAATTACATCAGTTAGTGTGCTGGAGGCCCTGAGTTCACCCATCAGCAATCAGCCAATCAATAAGCAGATTCTGATTCTGTACACCTATAGAGGCCTGAGATTCTGTATTTCTAATGAGCTCTCAAGCAATCTCTGTTATCCACACTATGAACAGCAAGGGCTTAATCTCTTTCCTATTTTAACCACTACTGTGTTGCTTAGTATCACAACTCTCTAGAGGTAACAAAATGCACGTGGTCTCCACAGGGTGAAAACTGGGAGTCTCATGCAACAGAGTTAGGTCAGATTGCTCCTTCTTTTTATTCTTTGAGAATAACGTAAGAGTTCCTTTAAAATAAGAAGTATATGAAAGTATAAGATGTATTGTTGTAACAGCTTATATATGACTCAGATTTTTCTCTTTATATGCATTTTCTTTTATTTTTTACTTTTTAAATGCATTTTAGATAAAAGAAAAAAAAACATACACAAAGGCTTACCATAGCAAAGCAAAATGGTACTAAATTAATTTCCATTTTGGAGGAGTAAAGTCTGTTTAAAATTATCCATATTTAAAAGAGGTCACAGACTATCAATGTGAAGTTGCCAATATTTTAAAGTTCAAGACACAGAATATGTTGTTCCAAGGAGAGAAATGATGGCAGTGGTACCGAGATACAATAGTGTTTGGGTCTGCTGGAAACAACCAGGTAGGTAGGTTGATTGATACATCTATCCGTCCATTCACCCACCCATCTATCCATCCATTCATGCAGTTATTCAGTAATATTTATTAAGCACCTCTTCTCTAAAATGTCCATGCTAAGTACTGAAGAGTTAGAAACATAAATCAGTTTCAAACACTGATTTCAATAATCTAGTACATGAGAACATGTCTAGTGTTATAAGGATCAAGTACAAACACTTGTGGTAAATGTATTTTCAGGAAGACGTTTTACCATCCATGAAACTGCTGCAGCAACCTTAGGTGAACTCGATCTCTCCCATAGCATGATGGAAAGCAAGAGAGATGTGAGTTTAATTCAAAATCAACTTACTAAGAATCTAAAAAACCATTGCATCATAAAAACAGGCTTATGTATGTTGTGAACAAGAGCTACTTTAACAGAAAATGAAGGAGTTTGATTTATTCTAATGGAAACTTCACCAACTTTTCTTTAAACTAACGAAGGCTTCTTCTACAAGTACTGACATTTAGTTCCATGATTTTGTATTTTTTCTCTCAGCAATCCTAGACTACCCTGGTAGACATTCTGCTGGCATCAGAGCTGACCATATGGGAGTCTGTCTCGCTGCCTCGGCACTCTCTGTCTAGGCACCAACTCAAAAGGTCTAGAGATAGTTTTAAAAAACTTATCATGCTACCAAAAGCACCCAGAAGCCAACTTGAGAAAGCTCCCAGTGGCCCAAGATGAGAAAATCTGAACATCTGAGAGAACAATGACAACGAAAGATTGAAAACATCAAATACATAAAATTCATATTTACAATGATGCCCCCACACCCTTCTAAGTCCATCACTGTTTATTGTTGGAGGTTGCTGGGATTCTTACTCGTTATTTGAATATTGATATATAAAGGCAATCATCACATATTTGTTTTGCTGTATTTTATTTTCTGTACTATTCTAATTATAATGCAGAAGAAATGATAGAATTGGGAAATTAGCATTTCTTAACCTTAATATAGTACTGGATGCAAGCAATAATCATCGCTGGATGCTAAAACTATTAGGTAAAAAGGTTAACAAAGAAGTTGATCATGGAAGAGCTAAAACTAATAACTCCTGAATCAATATTGTCAAAAGTAGGACAGCAGACATTACACCCCTCAGGATACTGATGTCATGTGAAGTGTACAGCACCACATATGAAATATTCTTTTCTAAAAAGAATTAAACCTGAATATGATCAAGGCTTTAGATGTAAGTACCAATTTATAGGAAATACATGTGAAAGATCCAGTTAAATTATTCACAAGAACAACCAGCCAAAATTATTTCTGTAATGCTACAATATTCAAAGTGTGGTTCTTGGACCAGAAGTTTGGTTTCATCCAGGAAAATGTTAGAAATGCACATTTTCTTTGTCTCCTGCGGACGTAGGGTCAGATAGCCTGGGCCTTCGCCTGCTTGCTGAGTTTACCAAGTCCTCCAGCAGACTTTGGGCATGCCCAAGTTTGAGAACTATGATTCTACAACATTAACAGCAGAGGAAATTAAATTTTTAAAAAAGGTAGAGGAAAGGAGGATTGTTTTAGAATAAGACTTAAAAGACACGATAAAACAAAACCAAATGCCATGGTAGAACACAACACAATACAACACTGATATCCTGAAAAGTTACTTTAACCCAATGTAAAAATAACCCGAAGAATCATTTGTACTGTCACAAAAGGAAACATTAAGTTTACACAAACTCTCAATCCATAAAAAATCAGGAACTTGATTCTTACTGAAAATGGAAAGGGGCCATGAATAATGAATTGCTTTTCCACATAACTGTAACTGTCTTTTGTTTTGTTCTGTTTCTTTCTTTCATCTTTAGCCCTTCAAATAGAGCCACAAGCCACTGAGAAGAGTCATCATGATGAAATTAACGAATACGTTAGAAGATGTTACTTACATTATGTTTATGACAGAAATTTAGAGCTTGAAGGGTTTGCCATAACACACTTTTGATCATTCCATCAGCCACACTATGGGAAGAAATAAAAAAAGAAATCAAAATTCCTGGAATGGTGTTCCTGGGAAGAGAGCTGGCATAGGTGGGGCTTGTCATGTTCAAAAAGCAAAGTGTAGAACTCCATCTTTCAAAAAACGTTTTAAGGAAAATTGCTTCATTTCCTTGTATTGTAGTTGTATCATTTTCTTTTGCAGTCTGAAATGCTTACATCTATGATAAAACATGCATAGTGTAAAAATGTATTGATGCTAATCTTGATACCTTAAAATTACTACTACAATAGGAGGGCTGTCTGTTAATCTCTGCTTTTCTCTCTGCCTGTCTCTCTCTGCATTTACTTTTAACACTAATGGTAAATAAATAATATAATGTAAAAGTGTAAAAGTAAAAATTTGTATCAGTTAGGACTTTTCCCCTCAGACCTGGCTCGCCACCCATTTACCTCTACAATTTAACTCTTCCCTGCCTCTTTTCTTTTTTCCCTCAGGGATCCTTTTCTTTTTGCAATGCTGGTGATTAAACCCAGGGCCTGGGGCTTCTAGACCTGTATTTTAGTGGCTGTGGAAGATCTCAGATGCATCACAATTTACTTAGTCCTCAAGCTGTTAGGTGGAGCTAGTTTTTATTTCTAGGTAAAATGTAGTGAGTACCTATAATCACTCATTTCATTGAAATTGTGCAATTATCTTCCTAAGATAGATTTTAGAAGTGTGATTTCTGGCACCAATGGTAGGTACATATTACATTTTGAACCTGCAGAGATGAACTTCTGGTAGACCTGAGATGTGGTTTTGAAGAGAAAAAAGGTAACCTGGGAAGAAAGAATTTCAGTTTATGGAGTTCATTTGGTGGAAAACACTCAAGCACATGCTGGAATTACTGTGTAACAGTTTGTACATCTGATAAGCAGGTAGGTTTACAACCAAAGAGGAGGTCAGGGAGAATACAGGTCTCATAAGAATGGGAGGCTTCTTGTCCCTGGCACAATTACCGCTTGTATAGAAATACCAGAAAATACCACTGACCAGTATACTTTCCACCAGGGAGCTGAGGATCTGTGAAACTTATATTCTGTCTGAGCATACTCTGCCTTATGTAATCTCTACAAATCAAGGCAGTTACATTCCCTTTAAGGCTCTGCTGGTGCCTTTTCGTTACTCACATCCCTGTCCTTTGACGATGCCTTCACATTATGCACTGCCAAGCTACCCTCTCTTAAGAAGGTTAAGCCATTTGCACTCCCACCAAACATCTGTGCAGGCAATTCCCTGCCTCCTCATTCTCTTGCCAACACTTGGTTTTGCCAATGTTACGTCTGCCAATCTGTGGTTAAAATAGAAACATATTTCATTTTTAATTTTAATTTCATTTTATTAATTTTCTGAGATTATTAACGTCCATATGGCTATAGGATATTACATTTCTTCTTTCTGTATTTCCATTTCAGGGCCTTTGTTGTTTCTGAATGGATGGTTTACTCTTTTCTTACTCATTTACAAAGGCTCAGCATATGTTAGTCTGTTACTTGTGCTCTAAATATTTTTCTTGGTCTTTCAGCCTTTCTGGTGCAGGTGAGTTTATATGCATATTTTAGAAAACCTGAAGCACAAATTTTTTTTTCTGCTAAGCATCAACTGTAAGTTTTAAAATTAAAAATTGATAATGTTCTAAAGATAGCTATTGCTCAGGCACATTTGTTATATTTAGATCACTTTTTAAAAACTGAACTTATAGGTATAACTAGTTTTATAAATCAGAGGATGGCCAATGGACGACTTAGTTATAGCACAAGTGACAAAATGCCATCATGTAAGTCTGAAATACTCAGAAAATGTAGGGAGGTATTTTTCTCAGAGCAGTTTCCTTATCTTGGATCACACTTGCAGTGTACATCAGCTGTCTGGTGGCGGCCATTTGACTCCAGTTCTTCTACTTAGTAATATTGTGAAATTACCAATAATTCTCAGTGTTTTCTACCTAAGATGTCTATTTCCTGCACTGAATTCTGATCCCTTCTTTCCCTAGAGCCAAACCCGAGGCAACAAGGATAAATATGACACAGTGCCAGAATTCAAATCCTAGCCGTGCTGTTCCTTCTGAGTTTTATAACCCCTAGAAAGATATTTGAATTTTAATTTCCTTCCTGTGTAAAAGTGAAATAGTATTCCTAAGCTTATTGGGAAATTTATTCAATAAACACCTTCAACACCCCCATGTATTCAGGAGTTAAGGGTCTGGCATGAGATGAGGCCAGAAGGACAGAAGAGTCCCTGAGGGGGGAAAGAACTGGAAATATGAGGAAAATTAGGAAGCCAGCAAAGATGGAACATGAGGGAAGAAGATGCAAAGATCCTTCAAACCCTGCGGGGGCGGAGAGGTCTAGATCTTGATAAAGAATTCCGATCGTACTCTAGGAGCCACTAACAGAAATAGAGCCAGGAAGAGATATAAGATGGAGAATGGATTTCTAGTGCAAAGTGTAGGGAGATAAATCAGGAGATGAATTCAGCAATCCAAGTGAGATCTGGTGACTGAGACTGGGCAGTAGTAGTGGAGAGGAAGGGAGATGAATATCAGTCCTTTGGAGAGACGTGGCCCTTCACCACGAAGGAACCGGATGCTGGACAAGGTCTAAGAGGCTACAGCAAACTGGGAAACAAGCCGGGGTACAGGGCTCAGAAACTGTCACACCCGTGAGTACTGGCATTAGCAACATGGAGTCAAGTACAAATTAATTTGACAGGCAAGTCCTGAGCTACTGTTGAGGAACAAGATGTTTCAAGGTATCTCATTGGGTCACAGCTTTTTGTTCCTTAGCTTGGATTCCAAGGGGGCAGAGTTCATCATTGGCAAGACATCTATACAAAATAACCGTTTGGAACAAATACCACTGCTCTTACAGAGGGAAGGTAGTTATCAAAGAGAACAGTCACAGTGTTCAAACCAGATGGAGTACTGCATTAAGACATAGTAGCATTGTTTTCCAAGCATTTTGGAATGAAATAAAATTTCCAGTAGAAATCAATATTCAATGTTTAAATATTATACTTTGGGTGAGTGTAAAAACAAATACTAAAAGCAGTAATGAAAACCTGCAAGGAAAAATGAGACACGTCAGTGTGAGCCCAGATGAGTTCACAGGCATCTTGGTGAGAAAGTTCAGAATGCTCAGCTCAGAGCCTGCTCTCGAGGCTACTCAGAGATCTGACGCTGACTTTGGAACCCGCTGTCTTTGCTTAATTTGTTATACACTTCTGATGGAAAGCTTGATTTCACTGTTACCATCTGAGAGGACTGAGTTCTTAGCAAGCCCATAATATCTTAGAATAAAATCCAACCTCATTACTGCAGCCCATCAGAATTTAATCATTTCACCAACTTTATCTCCTTCCACATCCCCAGTAACAGTCCAGCCTGTTTCCACTATTCCCAGAACACACCAGGCTTGCTTAAGTCATCATCCAACTATCCTTCATATTTTTATTTTATTTATTTAGGTTATTGAGACAGGGTCTCACTGTAGCTCAGGCTGGCCTTGAACCCAGCAATCTTACCTCAGCCACCTGAATGCTGAGATTATACATGTGTGTCCCTACATCCAACTTACATTTTAATTTTAAAAATAGCATATGTATTCACTAGAATACTAGAAAAATTAAAAATGAATTTTAAATATAATTAAAATTTAAATGTAATTTTAACTACATTTAAAATTCTACTGTGACCTCATTTTTTGACATAGCACTTCATGACTATTTCACTGAGATACTATTCTTTTGGATGGGGTGGATGTATATTTTACCATTGTGAAGCTATTACAATGCATGTGACTAAGTCTTTTTTTAATTATTCTTTTGTGGGGATGGAACCCAGGGTCTTATGGGCTTTGCTTTAGCCCTAATTCTTTACTATTGAAAAAAGTATGCTAGTCCCATTTAAAAAAAATCATGCGTAAATATTTATATGTGTAACATTTTGTCCCTATCTGAATATTGTCCTATCATGTTTCTCTAAATGAAATCTCTTGGCCAAAAGATAAAAAGTTTTAAAATATGTTCATACATATTTCCAAATTATCCAACTAATTACATTTTCTCTAATTGTGAAAAGACCTGATTCCATGACTTGACAGTACTGAACAAACTAATATTCGAAGAATCTTTGCCAAATTTAATAGGTGAGAAAAGATACCTCACAAACATTTTTAAAGTTTGGTAAAGAAAGTAAACATGCTTTCCTCAGTGTCCACCAGGAAGTAAGCTCTCTAAGGTTAGGTTAATTTTCGTATGTTTTGTCCAAGCAATATTCTTACACTTCGCCAAGTACATGGTATGCATTCACTAAATCTTTTCTGAGTGGCTGTATTTTCTAATTGGGTGATAATCTTGTTAAAAATTTTATTTGTAAAATCTCCACATATAGATATAAAATGTATTCTGGCAAATAGTTTACCCAACTTGTCATTTCTTTTTTAAGGTATGTTACTTTTTTTGTGAAAGGCAATCTCTAAAACTACAGTTTTAACATGCCAATTAATGCTCTCCTTTGTCTTCTTTTTATAAAATTTCTCATTTTGATTAGAACTCTGTGCTATAAACAAGTTTGGGAAACATTTTTCATAATAATGAATATTTTCACTTAGAAACATGTTCCCTTAAATAAAATCATATATAGTGTGGGAGGTTCTTGGGGTCTCTTTTATTCATGTAACTGTTCCTAAAAATCCATTAACATCTGTGAAAAGCACTAATAGGTTAGATTTCTCTCGTAGAATTTTCCATGTGACACTATGCATGGAGTTGAAAGAGAATGTTTGTAAGATCCTCAATTCCATCCTGCTGTGGGTGGGGAGGGGAGCTGAATTCCTGGCCAACCAGCTTGCTTCCTCTTCATGAAGGGCACCCGGGGAGCTAGCAGAGGTATTCAATTAGGTTTTATAGTTGTCTTATATTATGCCTGAGTCATTATTTTTATCTTTTATTTTTAACGTTTTTTGCTGTTAGCATTTGAGTGGGATCTTTATCAGATTTTCTAAAGTGATGATGGCTACAAGAGCTCTTAATTTTTTAATGTGGAATTTGTTAGAGGAGTGTGGTGGATTGATAACTAGTGGGCAACCTGTAACACCCAGGTGAACTGAATCAGCGTGGTGCTGGGTGTGGAGGGCCCACCGGAGGGTTGTTGTCAACAACATATAAAGGAGAACTGGTGAGGAAGTGATGTTGTTGGTTTACCTGGGGCTGTTCTCCTGGAGGAGTCTGTCATGCTGGCTTTCCTGATATGAACTCGGCCATTCTCATCATCGGAGCAGCTCAGGACCTAGTGGTCCCTGAGGATGGCTGTGGTGCTTTTTGGGGGAGCCCTGGTCCTTACTTTGAGCGTTGCTTCCTGGCTCTAGTGCAGATCCCTCGGCCTACTGGTACCGCTCCTTTATCTCACTGGCACAGACTTTCTAGCCACCACCGCTGACCTTTGGGCCTTCCCAGCGCACAGCCTGAAACGGACTTGCATAAGAGATTGTCATGGATTCTATCTAGGTCTTCAGCTGGACTCATGCAGGACATTGTCATTGGATCCAGGCCCTCAGCTGGGTTTTATGCGTCTTTAGTGTGTGAGCAAATCTTCTGCACTTTTTTGTGTTTGACTCTTTGGGTGGCTATTATAAAATAGGCCTATAAACTATGTGTATTAAGTTGTTTTCTTTGTAAACCTTGACTACAATGAGTCTGCATTGGATTCCATTAATTTTAAAAACTAGGTGATTCTCTTAGATTTTGCAGAACCAATAATACAATTACAATCTTATTTCTATATGCTACATATTTTATTTAGATTTCTTATCACATTACATTGGCTAGAACTCTCAGAATAATGCTGCATTTTGGTGGTGAAAAGTGACAGTCTTGTCTTATTTCTCCATTTAACCAAAGTTGCTTTTGTATTTTTTCAGTGAATATAAAATTAGTTGTCAGTTTGAAGAGGGGTCATGTGTATGAGTAAGAAAATTTTTTAAATTTCTAGTTGCTAATATTTTTATTTTTTGAAATCAAGAAAGTATGCTGAACTTACCAATATTTCATCAACCACACATATTTTTAGTTAATTTATTAATGAGTTCCATTAATATATTTCCTAATAGTGAACTATGGTTCCCCTCTTGAATTCAGGTAATCCAGTAAATATTTTAGCCTCAAAATGAACTGGGATTTACATTTACAGGTTGGTCTTCCTAGTTATATTTTCTCTCAGTTAATATCTTATTGCCTTTTGAGCACATCCTGACACTGGAGGTAGCTAGATGCGTTTGGGTAAGGGAGGGGGCTGGTTTTGGGATTTGAAATTTGCCAGCTAATTCTACAAAGGGTGAAACAGAGGACTGGTCACACAAAACTTCAGTTTCTAGATACTTACCCATTTGGGTTTCTTTCTAGCTCATTTAGAAGTGTATGATCACAGTATTCAAAAACTAAATGCATTTTCCTTTTTCTCCTGAACACCTCAATGAGGTTCACAAGATTTGGATGTTTCAATTGCTGCAAAGAAATTGAAATGCAAAGTAAGTGTCTTTCTAGTAAGTGTCTCTCTAGACTCTACCATTTTAAGAACACAAGGTCTTTCTTATCATTTGTATGGATCTCTTGTGCCAAGTTTTATTATAATTTCTCACAAGAAAAACTGCTCTGAGAAAGAATTATGGAAACTCAAAAAGTTAAAAGAAATTAAAGAATCTGTCTAATGTACCTAGAGTCAATGATTATCAAACTGGTGATAGCAAATAATGTATGTAAGCTAAAATACGGGCAATAAAATAAGAAAAATATTGTGTATTTTGTGGAAATTCTAAATATCCAAGTAAAAAAAATAATAAAAATTGAGAAAATGGAATTATCGAGTGCAAAACTATAAAAAAATTCAAAACTCATGTAGTTTACATAGTGGATTTAATGTAAATGTCCACTAGACTTAAAAGCAGACTGGATTCTAGCACTGGCTCAGTAATACGAGATTCCCCACTCAAATCTGATTACAGTGCTTGTTCTAGCAATCTTAAAAATTTATTACATTTTCAGATCTTTCTGTTGCTCTTGTACTTTTATGTGTGAAATTTTATTCTAAATCCAAAACACTTTATTTGGTTTAATAATGGAAACCAAAGGGAAAATGATAGTGAAGTTACACAATCAATCATTAGCATGACTAAAACTTATCATCCAAACTAATATAACCAGTAGGAGCAGGACTGCCTCAATATATGGTAGTTCTGCCTAAAATGAGGATGACCACATAATGTATTTTAAATTTTTTTTCAAATCCATCTTATTGAAGGATAAAAAAAAGAAGCAAAAAAAAAACTACAACAAAATTTCAAAACACATCAATCAGGGATAACAACGGTACATACACGGCTCATTGTCATCCCCAAATCATTCACCCAAAGCACAAGACATCTGCCTTCAGTTGTCTGAACAATACTAGTACACATCTTTCTCTTCAGGACCACATAATTTAGAAAACACACTGGACAGTTTTGAAAGGGAATGCTAACCAGATTGGACACTGAGACAAAAACTACAAATCAAGACTGTCCAGAGAAAACCAAGATACACAATCTCTATTTATAGCTCATCTTTCTTGTCATTTTTCCAGTAGATAGATCGACTTTACAAATCCTGTGTCATTTCTCCAGAGAGGTATACAAAGAGAGAACACAGCATTTCATATGCTTCAGAATTTCTATGTCATCCACTAGCTAAGAAGTAGAAGGTCAAGAGTGGCGGAGAGAAGTCTCATAGGTGAGTAGGTACTATGTGCTGCAGAAAAACATAGCTTGGAAAATGAAGTGGTTTCTGTGCCAGGTGGGTAAGGGATTCACAGGTGACACAGCTTGAATTAAGGTCAGAGTTTGGGTCAAACCTCCTGTCTGGGAATAGGCCAGCAATTTGTATCTCTTCGCAAATGAAGTTTATTTAGCTCAGGCAAACAACTACTTATCTGAAGTGAAACAGATAGTGAGGAGGCGGCAAATCAAACTTAAACAACAGGAATATGTGAGGAAAGTCAGGTCCGCTTACCATGGAGGGAGTGTGTGTGGCATACACGGGTGCAACATGTCAAAAGCAGGAGGGGGTATGTTCTGGAAGCTATCACTAAGCCACAGCTGACGTGAAGTCTGGCCACCTTTTACCACAAAGTTCATTCTCAAATTGGGACACTTGTAATCCGGAAGGGCACACCTGAACATTAACTTTATTTGAAGGCTTAGAAGTAGGAAGGCCAAGAGTGAAAACATTCTTACTATAAAACAACACTGCCTGATCCAGACTCACTGTGTAAATTACCCCTCAACTAGGGCCAGGGTTGGGTGGCTCTCCAGTGCCCTCTGTGGGCTAGGAGGTGAGAAAAACCTTTTAAAAATAATAGTGTTGAAAACTATCCAACGATATTGAAAATAAAACATTAAAATGTATTACTTGGGGAAACCTGCTGAAAACTATATTTGAAAAAGAGATAATATGATTATTATTCCCCTTTGCAAACTGAATTTCTAGGATTTTTCCAAAAAACAAGACTCACATCAAGTGAAGGTGGGCCATGGTTTTGTTAAAGGGTGTCCCACCCAGCAGCAGCCCCTCCGCTAATGGGGAGGCTTGTTAGAAATGCAGATTCTTGAGCCCAATGTGGTGGCGTGCGACTGTAATCCAAGCACTTGGGCCACTGAGGCAGGAAGATAGCAGTTGAATTCAAGGCTAGCCAGGGTTACATATGGAGACCTTGTCTCAAAACAGAACAAACAAACAAAACAAAAAATGTAGATTCTTGACCAGATGTGGTGTTTCACATCTGTGATCTCTGTTGCTCAGGAGGCTGCGATAGGACGATGGCAAGTTTGAGCGCAACCAGCATGGACAACTTAGTGAGGCTCTTTCAAAAATAAAAATAGAAAAAGGGGTGGGGATGTAGCTCAGTGGTAGAGCACTTGTCTAGCATGGGTGAAGCCGTAGGTAGGTTCAAGTCTCATTACTAGAGAAAAAAGAAAAGGTTTTCAGGGCCAAACACTGACTCCCCAGACTTGGTGTACCAACATGTTGGATCTCCAAGTAATTTCTATGCAAGTGGACTTTGTAAAAATGATTTTTTTTTTAACTTGGGAGAAAAAATCTACATTGAAAAAACATATATCAAATTCTACCAAAGTAAAAACAAGGATGGCATAAGCCTTTATGTGAAAAATGCACAGATTGCAGGGAACAATATTCAGTGGGTGGAAGAATCAGTGTGGTGCAGGCAGAGACCAATCAATGCCAACGCCTGCAGGGCACTAACACGGGCAGTCCTGGGGCTGCAGCTCTCTTCGTTGGGGGTTTATTGGGAAAATGTACGCGGCAGTGTCAGAGGAGAGCAGGTTGGGGGAGGACACAATAAACAAGCTTACAACAGTATGGATATCCCCAGCCACAATAGAAGTATATCATTATCTTCCACTGCTGTGCTCATACATATGAGATAAACATCAGTGGCCAAAGTCCAAAGTGACAATTTATTTCCCTAAGTTGCTGATACAAAGGAATTTAAGACCAATGAAAAAGAAATGTGACTTTGAAATTTTTGGAATTTTTAGTATATATATTTCATCCAATACTTTGACATTATACACAGAGAAAATTAACCTACCTTCAACATGCGTATTTCTCTTAGCGCTATCTTCTTAACAACAGGATCATCTTCAGATTCCATGAATTTTTTAATAGCTACTACTTGTCCAGAGGATTTGTTTCTGCATTTGAATACAGCCCCATAAGACCCTTCTCCAATTTTAGCTAATTTTTCATACTTTTCCATTAAAGTGACTTAAATTATTGTATTGATTGACTTGCAGTATAATATTGCACCTGGAAAATAAGATTTACTCATCTTAATCATTATAAAGGACAATAATCTCATAGTTCATATAAAAACAATTTGCTCAGTACCAAAACAAAACAAAAACAACAATTTGCCCAGGTTGTCAAAGGTTTATTTCCATTGATTAACTTTAAATCCATTTAAAAATACATGGATGTTATTGTGCTAACTGGTTTAGACCTATATAGCTATTTGGGTTATTATAAAGACTAAATGTATTATTTTTGATAATGGGTCAGGGTTTATGTCAAATTTTAAAAAAATTTGTGGGAAGGAATCTTATCCAATCTGTTTTCACTATCTTCAAATAAATGGTTAAAATATGATGCAGTAAAATTTAGCTGAAGGAGTACATACTCTTGAATATAGTGTTTAATTTTCCATTGTGTCTCACATGAATACCACAATGACTACAAATCCTGTAACAAGACACGTTACAAAGTGCTACACTTCCACCTGGTGGAGAGCAGGGGAAAATGTGAACTGCCGATCAAAGCGCCCTTTTACAAATAACACAGTTTTTAGGGCAGTATTTATTGCTTTTAAATTTTATTTATACAGGGGACTAATTCTTAGTCTCCAAAGAAAATGATAGTATACAAAAAGGAGGTAGGGTTCTCTAATTCTTCTTGAGCGCTTTCATATTCATTGTGATTTCTAGGAAAATGCAAGGTTTAATTTTTTATCTTGTATCACTTGATTAAATATTAAATTATGAATAAAATAAATATAAACAGGTCTAGAAATTAACAATATAAAAAACTTAACTAGCTTCAAAAATCCCCACTTTATCCAGAATATCTAATCATAATCATCTAATAATAATTATAATAGCACTCAAATAACAATGTTCTATTTACATATAATCTGGACAAAAATTCTATGAAGTAGGAGTTTTAAATTAATTTATTTTCAGTTATTATGTTTATCTAGTTACATAGATGAGAAAACTAAAGTGCAGTAAAGTCAGTATAGAATTAGAATGCAAGCTGTCAGATTCCAAAGATCACAATTTCAATCATTACTCTATACTGCCTCCCAATTAATTCACAAGAATGTACAACTTGAAAAACCATTTTATCCAAGTCTTACTATTAATAAATATCAAGTGAAATTACTACTTGTAAAATTTCATTTCAAATGAGCATGTATGTACACACAACACACACACACACACATTTTTTTTTTAACACAGGATCTCACTGTGTTGTCCAGGCTGGTCTTTTTTTTTTTTAATTTAAAAGGAAAAAGAGAAAAAACAAAACAGTGTAAGGGTACAAGTAATACAGAACTCCAAAAAAAAAAAAACCAGTAAGAAATCACCAGTTAATAGATTACACATTATCATCTTAGAGATAGTTGCTCAAAGATCTAACTGTGTTGTCCAGGCTGGTCTTGAATTTGAGATCCTCCTACCTCCTGGATAAAATAAATATACTTTTCTTTTTGTAATGCTGGGATCAAACCTAGGATCTTTCACATGTTCTGAAATATGAGGATATATATATCTGTATTTTTAACCCAAGTATTATTATCTTAAATGTATTTACAGGTAAGAAGGCATACATTTGCCTTTCTTTACTTTAGTAATATCTGGTTTTAAAAACAATAGGAATAAGTAGAAATTTGCTTTAGAAAGTTATTGGAATAGAACGTCACACACTTGTGAGTTTAACTCATTTGATAAGCACTATGGATATTGGGGAAACTATGAATATGACACAAACTATAATTATGAAATTTTAATCTGTACTGTTTCCTTGTTTCCCACTATGCAGTTATCTGACTTACGGAACTATTTGTATTTTTCCTTTTTTCCAGCAGCTTGATAAGGATTGAGCCCCGACTGACTAGATCTCTCAGTCATATCAACCAAACTGCTGAAAAGAACACAGCAACAGAAACAGTATTCTGCCAGGTAATCTTGAAATACTGTCTGCTTTCTAAGCATCTTACGTGTTCATGGAAGATGAGCCTGACATGTAAGGAAGAGTCAGACTGTGCCAGGCATTCCACAAAGTATTTATGTTTTTAGTTGCAGCTTACTAGGTCCTACCAGAGTTTCTGGAAGCAGCAATTCCTAATCTCTTACCTAAAATCCAGGACAACTATCCAACTGCTTGATGAACATTTCTATAGGAATGAGAAGATTCATCTCAAAATTGGTATATTCTAAGGGCTGAGGATTTAGCTCAGTGGCATAAGCACCTGCCTTGCAAGCAGGCAGTCGTGAGTTCAATTCTCGGTACCGGAAAAAAGAAAAAAAAAAATTGGTATATTCTAAACCAAATGCTTTGCCACCTATCTTATCTTACCTTCCTCACAAGTTTACAAACACACTCTAAAGGACTTGTCAAGCGAGGAATTTGGAGGTAACGAAGGATAATAGTTACTGCCTAAATTTAATTGCTTCATATATCTTCTACAAAGCCATACAAACCAGCCAGAACAAATAAAACCACATAAATCTAATGCCTTCAATATAATAAAAAAAACAGTGGACTTTACACACTTAAAGAGTGAAGCCCACGTTCTAGAAGGGATGCCACAGTAAGTCTTTGCGCAGAGCCAAGACAAGAAGAGTGGAGTGAAAGCTGGACACACCGTTAGGTACAGCGAAGGGGGAGACTCAGCGTCACCCGCAGCAGGGGAAAACACGTCATAAACACAGGAGCGTAAGGGAGCATCAGTTAGTGTGGCACCATTGCTGGGGAAGAGAAGGGTTAGGGCGAAAGGTGAGGAAAGAGGAAAAGAAACAAGAAAGTAAGTTAGGGATCGTTCAAGACATAATCCCTCAAAATAGAGGAATATGCAAATTCTTCTCTCATGATGAAGACATAATCTAAAATGACCAGTCTAGGTTTTTCAAATGGCTAACGTGAGAGGGGAGACCGAAAGTGAACAAAGCCTCAGAGACTTGTGGGACAACAATCAGTAGAGCCAACACACAGAATGAGATTCCCAGGAAGAAGAGTGAGAGAAAAAGGCACAATTCTTAAGAAATAAATGCTGATGTATTTAATAGCAAAATGAACATGATGTGCATAACTTATTCTCAAATGAGTAGGATGACTAGTATGCATAAATACATATATATGTACATGCATGCACGCACATATACATATATAAAGAGAGGAAAGGTGTGGCTGAGAGGAAATGATAAAACAACAAAATGTAAACAACGAGCCTAGCTACATGGGAATCTTCATTTAAAATTATGTCAGAATAAAGCTGTTTTAAAGCCTCTTATCTTTTGTTCTTTATATCTATAGCCATTACACTAAAAACATCTTTATCAACATTACATAATATACTCAGATATCTCATGGTCTCTAAGGTCAGAGTAAAGAATAAGCAGCAGTGTGCTATTTATAGTCCTTTCCACTATGGCCTCAACTTAACTTTCCAGCCTTCTTTCTCAGATTGTTCCCTACTTTCAAGTCTCTAAGCTCTGCTTATATCCCTGCCTGGAATGTTTGATCCTGAAATCCTCTTCATCTCTACTGTTTGACTCACATGTCTTATCTGAGGAGCTTTCCCGATCCTTAGAGGCAGGCTCTTTGCACCAGTGATACGCTCACAACTTTCCTCTCCCCCTTTAAAAAAAAGTTATTATAGACTTGTACTGTTAGCTCATTATCTGGCACATAGCAGGCTTCTCTTGAGGTCTCACTCTACTTTTATTTTCGAATCCTTTCCACTGGACACATAAAATGCCACGTATGTATGTATGCATGTATGTGGTGTTGGGGCCAAACCAACTGCCTGGTGCACGTGAGGCACTCTAACGCTGAGCCACAGCCTAGCCCCCAAACAACTTTCTTTTTAAAGCAAAGGCAATAAGTACATTCTGAAAATTAACACAGTACTTGGGCAGGAAATCAAGATTAAAGAGTGACGTAGCTACTGGCAAGGAATAGCTGAAAATATTTTTCACAGTTATTAGTGGCCTTCAAACTGAAGTATATATATTTTGGCTACAGGATGTCTTGAATTTAGAGAATATTGCATGATCCGATATATAGTACATGAAATCTTTAGAAAAGGCAAACATGCCACCGGGGACACAGTATCTCCTTTGTATTATTATTATTATTGGCTATCAGGAATTGAACCCATGACCTCATGCTTGCCAGGCAGGCGCTGTGCCACTGAGCTATATCCCCAGACCTCCTTTGTATTACTTTTGATAAGGATGCAAAGCCTGAATGTAATTATGAGGAAACACACAGATGAATTGAGTATCAGGTTAATGAAGTTCTGCATACAAAAGCAAAGACAGGCTTAGACTTGAACCCACAAGTGATTATAAGACAGGTAGATGAACAAATATTTCAGCAGCTCATTAAACTCAGTGGAAAATTTTAATTACCTTAGTCTTTAGGATTTGCAAAATGAAGCACATAGAAAACACTTGGAGGTGGATTATTTTGCACGACTATATCACAAATCAAGTCCTGATGGCTACACCAATAGAAAAATAAAATTGAGATGAGGAGAGACAGTGAGGAGAAAAAGAGTGGAAAAAATTTTCCTAACATAAAATGTTCTAGAAAACTCTGCAAACAGTTGCTTCAGGAATAGTAGAGGAAAGGAGAGGTTTTCAGTACCAGGCCAGATGGTTGAGAGAGCCTACAGGTTAAGTCACTAGGCTAAATTCCTGCTCTAGGTGTTTCCAAGGAAATCAATTACGTATTTATTTCATGAAACTGACTGGGAAAGTGGTCTATTGGATTATTGATGGTCATAAACAAAGAGTGGTGCGTTTCAAAAGAACACATACGTCTTTATAAATTTATTTTGATGGCAATTCAATCAGATTAACTCAAATCATCTTCAGAAAACTAGAGCATGACAAAGTTTACATAATCCACCTAAGTTTCTTAAAAATCAGATTCCACACGTGGACATAAAAGTTGTGGAAGTCTGTCATGTCTCTTTATCTCCAGAATGACACTTCTGTTACCTCTGTCGCGGGCCCCAGCGGCTCTACCCACCCACCGGGGCGCCCGGCCCACCCAGCTTCTGCCTTGTCCACCCGTGCTCCTGCACTCCTCCTGCCCTCCGCTGCGGGACTCCCCTCTTTCCACAACCCACTTCTATTTTAGCTTCAAGAGCCCTTTGGAGTCCCCTTCTCTACCAAAACGACCCAAACATTAAAGTTGTTTTTTTCCTCTTCCCTGGGGAGCTAGAATTCTCTCCTGTTAGACTCGTCTTTTTAGCTTGGTTTAAATCATAAAAATACAATTTCAACTGTGACTACACTCAGACAACAGAAAGTGGGAGTTAGCAAAGCTTTCCGACGCCAGCAGGCTGGGCCGCCCCGGCCCGTCACCTCGCCCCTTCGCCCCACCGCCTTCCCAAGGCCCCCAAGGCGGACGCGAGCCCGGCCCCTCTTCCTTCCCCCGCCAGCCGCCTCCCCTGGAGCCCACCCCGCCCTCCACACTCCCCAGGGGACCCCGTTCCCACCCGCGCGCCCCGGAACTCACTAGCACTTACGGCGCAGGCGGCGCCGTCCTGAGACTCGGACAAACACACACGGCGCTGGCGGTCTCGGCAACTCCCGAGCGTGCGGAACCGCAGCGGCGTCGCCCTGGCAACCGGGACGCTCAGGCAGGGCTGGGCCTGGCCGGGCGGCTCCCCGGGCGCCTGCAGCCGCCTTGGTCTGCACCTTGGGTCACCTCTGGGCGGGTCAACTCTGGGCGGAGCCTGCAACATCATTGTGTGAACGCAAGTTAGATGAAGATGCTTGGGAACATTTATAACTACTTACCACTCAAGTCTCGTTACTTCCTAGGGCATCAAGAGCAGGAAAATTAAACTAATGTAGATGTGGAATGTTAACTAGTCCTCATCCCTGCCCGGGCAGACCATCGGTTTCATGTACTCTAAGCTCACTGCATTCAACTATTCCAAACCTGCAGTGTTTTCTCGTACACCTAGGCTTGTAAGTTTTTCTGTTTTTTTCAGGCATAGGACCAGCTCTTCATCTATCAACAGTGTGATTACATATATTTCTACACAAAGGCTTTCCTATCCCACAGCAGAATCAGACACAAGTTTCTGTACTTCTTTATTACGACTACTCTTTGCCACTTACCTTTATTACCCAAAAGTTCTCCTTAGATGAATACTGGTTAGGAATTACGCCTTTTCAATCTTTTCTCTAGTGCCACTAAAGTGCCTGGTAGATTGTAAATAATCAATATATGGTAATTGTCTCACAAAATTAAAGAGTAAAAGCCCTTGTAGTATGTTTACTAGTCTTATTTAACAATCAAATTATAAAGTTAATTTTACTTAACATAAAAATTCTTTGAATAAAACCTTTTTGGTAAAGCAAAAAACTAAGATAAAATTTTTGTCTTACTGCAAAGAGACAGTGCAAATCATTATTTGCAATCCAATTGGAAAAAAAGACCTAACTTCTGAAGGAAAAATTCTTAAATATTTTAGTGTAGTAAACATACTGCATGTATTCCATATAATAGTTCAGCGTAGTGACAGCAAACCTTTTAGAGCTTTCAGTAAAAAATGGCTGGCTGTAGCATTACAGATTTGACACTACTGGCTAGAATATTACTTGTGAGAATGCATTTTGATCTAAGTGCCTAGTGCAAATTTAAGCTGTCAGTTACCACTATGGGCTCGGGAAATGTCTGACTCAGTTTCTAAAATAAAATTAATGATATCCAATATTTTGTACAGCACATACTTTCATACCTCTCTGCTAATAATGGTGAAAACTGATATATCCTATCTGTCTTTTATTTCCTGGTCTCTACTGAAATTAAAGGCACATTTGCAAACTGAACAATGCCACAAAGCCACAAAACAGTTGATTTGTTTCTTCTTATAATATTCCATAACTAATGGTAGCTTGAACTTTTTTTTTTTGGTAGCTTGAACTTTAATGAAGATGAATTCCAACATTTTAGTGACCCTCCATTTGAGAGCATAAAGATTCATAATCAAAAGTTCTTAGTTCTTAGGTGAAAACTAGAAATTTATTTTCTTTACAATCTTGTTTGGGTTGGCTTGGAACTCATGTTTATACTGACCCAGGCTCCTGGGTAGCTGAGGTTACAGGCAAACTTCAGGTGTCTGGCTTGAAATTTGCATTTTGGAATGTCATTAAAGACAAGGCTCTCTGAAGCAGGTGATTTTTGGACCACACTCAGAAATACTGATTTAATTTCCACCAGGGTTTTCATGCTAGGGCAAATATCACAATAACTTGTACAACTGTATAAAAATAAAGGTTACTGGCCAGTGATCTAGCTCAGCAGCATAAGCGCCTGTTTGGCAAGCACGAGGTTGACAGTTTGATCTCCAGTACCAAAAAAAAAAAAAAAAAAAAAAGGTTACTTGGTATCTATTACTCCTGAAGATTATGATCTCAGAGATTCTTAAAAAGTTTGTGGTTAATGCATAACAAGTTGTATATTTTATTGTTTGAAAATATTTCTAGGTGCTTGCCAGATAAATGATTAACTCTTTTTTTCAGACAGGATGGCCCTTTATATAAGATTAAAGGACTTGGATATGGAAAAAAAATGGTCCAGAAAAATGATCAACAATTTTATCAATAAATGTAGGAACATCACCTTAATTTCCTGAAAATCTTTTCCATGAATCTGTTTTTCAGCAAAATAATGCTATATTTGTAAAGATTTTAAAAAAAGTCACTAGTCATTAAAACTAAGATTATTCACAATGCTTGGGAAAAGCAATATCCAACTGCTATGATATTAGCATCTACAGTTTTATAATATCTTTTTTTTGTCTTTTTCGTTTTTATCGGTACCAGGGATTGAACTCACGACCGCCTGCTTGCAAGGCAGGTGCTTATGCCGCTGAGCTAAATCCCCAGCCCCTAGCATCTACAGTTTTAAACATGGAAACGGTCTTAAATTCAGGTAAAAGACTGAAAGTCATAGTGACAGGTAATAGTAAAATGAATAGTACAAATGGTGCCTCCTAACTGCCAAGTTCAGTTTTTGCTATTCTATTTTTTACCTCCAGAAATGTATTCCCTTAACATCCTTTTTGTTTTTAACTTAGCTGCTGGCAAATTATTTTCTGTAAAAGGTCAGATGATGTCATTTTAGGCTTTGCAGGCCTAGACTTTCTTTGAAGTCCCTCAAACCTAATACCATGGCACAAATGCAGCCACTTGTGGCACTGTGCCATGAAGTAAAGCTTTTACAAAACAGGCTGTGGACTGGCGTGAAGACTGCCGTCTGCTGACTCCTGCTGTAACCAAACCATTCTATTAATTGATTTTCAGGATCAGAAGTTAAAGATTCTACAAAAGATGCTCTTTCCTCAAATGGGGGAATATTATTGCTTCATGAAACTGAAATCACAAATCAAATATAAATGACTTGAGAAGCCAGAATTAGGTCCTTGAGATTTTTCCTAATGTATTTTAGTGTTACTATGTACAGATTAAGCCAGATGACAAGCTACTATACAACAGTGTATTAAAAAACATGTTTATTTTACACTATGTACAATCAGTAATATATTTAAAACCATCATCAATAAATGAAGACCATAAATCACAATTTAGTTTGTTTTTAGTGTGTATATACTCATATTAAAATATAAAGAACATATACCAAAAAGACCTAAAAGTGTGAATTTGCCCAACTTGGTTTATACATACTCCATTGGAAAAAGGAATAAAAACTGACTTTAACTAAAACTAAGTTCCTGTGATGTGTAGTAACCGTTGTATTGTTTGTATGAGGTAGTAACTAAATTATTTTGGCCATGTGTTAATACTCTAAATCAAAAGAAATATGAAAGTAATCATAAAATAAGGCCAACAAAAGTAAAAATTCCACTAGAAATTTGAACCACTTCACTCTATGGAATGTTACAGTTCCTCAATGTGATTATATGAAATGTCTAGTGTGGATTGTTTATAATGCTAATTTATTCTTTGTGCATACCGTCATTCAGACAACTGCAGTGTTACATCATGGTACCGCTATTCTGTGATTTAAACTTTTTTCAAAGACATTTTAAAGCAAAGACAAGCAATCTTACTGGATTTCTGCTTACATATAAAAAGATCAGTTACTACAACAGGTGGTTAACTGTTTTTTTTCCATATAGAAAACAACCCAAATACATTTTAAAAAGATGTTGTGGTGCCAACTGCATATTGACAATGTCACAGCTTACTTTGTGACTCAATGTATCACATATCAATACTTTGTGCAAATATAAACACCAGTGTACTTGCATTAAAATTAAAAACAAGATTATAAAATGATTGCAGCCTCCATTACAATTTTAAAAGTTACAAGATTTATATTCATATTACTAAATTACATACAATAAAAAATACAATAGTGTTAAAGTACTGCTTCATTACCAGCATCCCATTTTTTAATATAGCCACACCCATGAATATACTAAAGAATACTTAAAATATTAACCCCAATAGCATTTTCATCACCATTTACATCTGTACAGATAAGACATTTACTTGTACATCTCATAAAAGTACATACATTATCTACATAAATTCTTAGTGTATGTCTTTAACAATATGAAGTTTCACAGAAAAATACTGCCTATATGTACAAAGATTACATAATAATGAATTAAGCACTTGTGTGGTTCAATATGCTGAATATATCCATACCACTTAAAACAAAAATTTTTCCCATCTTGTTTCATGCCACAATAAATTACAAGTAACTGAAGTCAGGTTACTGCAGCTTTTGAACAGCTTCGAGCATCCATTAATGTTGCAGTGGTAATGTCTGTTTTTTCTATAGTTAACTGTCAAAGCACAATACATTTCAGTAACTGTTTTCATGACCCGCCAGGATGTATAAATTGCTGTTTGCGGTAGGGTTATCAGTTGGCCTACTTTCCAAAACCACGACCCTAAAAGTAATAAAAAAAACATATAACAAAACAAAGTTATTCTTGAAAACTAGTATTAGCAGAAAAATTTTCCATTGTTTCTATGCTACATTCCTGTATACATGCTACTCATTTGATTTATGGGCAAAAATAATTTGCTATAACAGTGATTAAACAGCCAGTTCTAGCTCTGTATTGTAATTTTTGCTACCTACTACCTCCCATCTCTAAGCTAGGATTTTTAAGAGTTTGGAAGTGAGGAGCAGAAAACTGTAAGAAGTTAGGAATAATTTGGTTGGAACTTAATTCTTCTTTTAAATTCTAAAATAATTTTCAAGAATCAGCACATGAATCAGAATAGAACTTCAAAATTTTATTTGCCACTAACATCATAAAGTTCTGTTATTATATATTTCCTCTTCCTAATGTTGCAAATCAGACATAGTTTTAAAAATACAATGTTCAACATATTACTGCACAAATTTCAATTCAGAGAAACCTGTTTCATGCTGAATTTAGAAAACACATTTAATAGAATCCATTTTCATACCTATCAGATCCGAGCAGCCTGAAAATTCTTGTGTTATCTGAAATTTCTTGTGTTACCTGTTCAATTAAAATATAAATTTATTTCCTGAAATTAAAGATACAAAATCTTATATAGACATTTCATTATAATTTTATAGAAAAGAAATGTAATCCTCACAATGGAGAACTATCCCTGTATGACTATTCACTGTATGTATTTACTGTCAGCATGCATATCAATTTGTTAATCCAGGAAAACGTGCCTAATTGGAAATCATAAAGTACAAGTGAAAAAAACTGCTTGTTAGATTACAGAATTTCAGGAAAACAATTTAAAGAACAAAAGCACTGAGCCCATTCTATCTATCTGAAATATTTCATCATCTATGTTTATGCTAAGGGCAGGGCTACTGGCAACAGCAAGCCACTTAGATCTACTTCTTTCATTTAAAAGGCTGCTGTGTGGTATAACAGGAAATACTTATTAGCAGTGACATTGGACAAGGCATGCAGTTTATTGCAAACAGTTTGCCTCCTGAAAAATGCATAAAAAAGACTGACCTTCCAGTAGTATTTTGATGTATTCATAAAAGTGTAAGAGTATATAATGCTTACCCAAAGATTTTTTGGGTACCCCCCTCAAGACACCATATCACCCATGATGTCTTTGTTTCTCTGACTAGTGCTTATTAGCTGTGAACTGTTCTTAGCAAACAGCTTTTGCGAAGTGAGCTGGCATGTTGGAATTACTGCTAGAAACATTACTAGCAGCAACTTTCTTCAGTGTCTATTATAGGTTAGGCACTGTACCAAGTGCCAAGCACTTACATGCTTCAATTCATTTCATCTTAACTCTCAACTCATAGATGAAAAATACACATGGAGAAAGAAGTTTAAGTGACATGCCACAGTCACTGACCTATTAACCAGGAGGGCTTAGACTTGAACTTATGTGCCTAATCTCCAGAATGCATGTTCACAATCACTATGCTACACTGCTTGCTTTGTTAGAAGAAATGTTATTACTTGTTAGAAGTAATGGCTAATAGAATACAGATAATTTATTGTCTTGCTTGAGGAATCTGAAATTTTCCTTTGATCAAGTAATATTGATAGGTTTGTTGGATACTAGAATTTTTAGTGATTTTAATATTCTATGGGCAAGTGCTGGGGATTTAGCTCAGCGGCATGAGCATCTGCCTTGGAAGCAGGCGGTCGTGAGTTCGATCCCCAGTACCGATAAAAATGAAAAAGACAAAAAAAAAAAAAAAAAAAAAAAGAAAGAAAAAGAAATATTCTATGGGCAAGCACTATAGTCTTATTCATGTTTATAGCCTTGACACTTTCTAGCATAAATGTTGAACTGAATTAAATATGTCACATGGCTTAAATTATTCCTGTAAGGTAGGAAGGACTCATGACATGCAGCTAAAGGCTAATAAAAAGAGGCAGAGGGTCTTAAAAACATCAAACGAATTAAACAGGAAGCAAGCTGGCTTCCAGAGAAAGGTACATGAATTCTTGGTCATTATCACTGGAAAACAAGTAGACAAGGTGTCTCAGGACACAGAGTGCCAGTACAAGCAGTGGTATTCCAGGTCATGGTGTAGGTAGGAATGCTGAAAGAAATCATAGTCGGCTCACTTTTAGCAGTATCGGGAAGCTCTTATTCTCAGTTTGGGGTCATTATCTGGAAGCACATTAAGACGCACTGGCCTCAAACCCCTGCCTTGCCCTACCAAGTAGCTGCGACTAGAGGTACATGTTACCATGTTGGACTTTTAGTTAAGGGGCAGAATTTAAAGACGATCACTTACCTCATTAGATCTAAAACTTCTACCTTGCATTCCATGTTTCCAGAAAGCTAGCACGCTGTCTTGTAGACAAACTAGCAGGCAAGAACAGCTCAATTACTGTTAATAGTACAAAAGTTCAACTGATAAGCATTTTATTCTACCTCATATAATAATATTTCAACTATTACCTGATTTCAGCTACTGTGCATTTATACGGCATCTTTATGTTTGGAATGTTATAAATATACTATATAGAGCTTATTCATCTTTTTGGTAAAAAAAACTCACTGCAAATATTTGTTACAGATATTTGTTTTGATAAAATAACAAATTAAAAAAAATACCACAAACATATAGAATACAGATAGGAGCATTAAAAACACGTGGCAATGAACTATCAAATTTTAACATTCTTCTATATTTGCTTTATGCTTTGAAGAAAGGCAAATATAGTGGTATTCCTATAGACCTGACTCCGGATCCCCCTTCCTTTCCAAGATAACCATTATTATAAATTTGGATTTATTATTCTTGTGCCTGTTTTTTTTTTTAATACTTTTTTTTCTTTTCTTTTTATCCGTACTGGGGATCGAACTCACAACCACTTGCAAGGCAGGTGCTCATGCCGCTGAGCTAAATCCCCAGCCCCTCTTGTGCCTGTTTTTAATACTAGTTCTACACTGTAAAGCTTTATTCCAAATGTCATATATGAGGTATAGTGATCTTTAGTTCTAGTTATTTTTTTATTATTATAAATATGCCTGCAATAATCATTATTGTACTTTATTTTTCCATTTTTTGTTTTTGAGACAAGGTCTTGCTATATAGTTTAGACTGCCCTGAACTCACTATGTAGCCCAGAACTCATAGCCATCCTTCTGCCTCGGTCTCTCGATGCTTGGATAACAGGTGTGCGCCACCAAACCAAGATAATTTTCTTGAAAACAAGTACAAGACTTTCTCTGAGGTAAGATACTTAGTTCTCAAAATACTGGGACACAAAATTTATGCATAAATAAGAAGTTTTAGTTTTGCTTTTTATATTTACATATTTGATACATTATTTTTGCATGTATCCTATGTGGAAGAAATCTAATTGTTTCTTGAGATGACCAACAGTACCAGCA